ATTCCTGTGCGAAGATCCGATGTGTACAGAATAAGCGCTGAGGCTGCACGGAACTAGGAAACTAGAAATGCTGTCGTTTCCCTAAGCAAAATCTTACACTCGTAGTTGTGGGAGAGGAAGCCCTGGTCTCTGCTGATCCCTGAACAGGTAGCGTGAAACTTGGGAGGAAATTCTAGTTTCTCCTTGGAGACTTTTCTAGTCAGATCTTTTTTATTAGGCTTTACGCTACGAATTGACGTTCAAACATTAAGCACCAACATCATCATTAAGGATTCCCTGAATACATCGACTCCCCTCCAACCTTCCATGGTTACCTCTATCCATCTTTTTTCAACTGCTGCTTTTATTTTTTCTATTTTTCTTAACAAACCCATTTTTACCATAATTTTTGTACACTACAAGCGTTACTCAGATCCTGCCAAAGTTTTTAGTTGTTTACAGTGTTCTCCTAAAAACATTATAAATTTCCCCCATTCCTTCTTAAAATTCTACTCTTCCTGGTTTCTGATTTTCCCAGTCAGTTTTGCCATTTTGGCATAGTCCATCCTCTTCATCAGCCATTTGTCTCTGGTTGGGACTTCGTCTTCTTTCCATCTCTGGGCCAGTAGTATCCGCACTAGAGATGGGAAGGCCTGGGAAAAAACCAAAAAAAATGGGGGGGGGACGACCCCAGATCCCCCCTCCCCGTTTTTCCCCAAAGCTGGTTTTTTCCAGAAAAATTGGGGGGAAAGTGTGTGGAATATTCAAACTATATTAAACTGTTGTTTTCCAATTTTTCCAGGAAAAAACAGCATTGGAAAAAACCTGGTTCCCCCTCCCAATCCCCCCCCCCCCGGTTTTAATCTGCACTGGAGACTTTTGCTGGGAAATGGTGATAAGAACCTAAGAACAGGCTGCTGAATGAGGCCTGCATCCTGTTGTCACAGTGGCCAACCTGTAGAAAACCCACAAGTGGGATTAATAACAATTAATAATAATGCTTTATCCATGGCCTCTTCTATGTTTACAGGTACAGCCGCTGCCTCTTCACGCTCTGATTCCAGCAACGGGTTAAGACTTCCTTTATCTGTCTTGGCACGTTGCAAACCACCCTGTGGTCATGGGATGAAGGGTGTTATATAAATTTATTCATAATACTAATTTGAAGGGCTTTTTGCCAGCTCGATCGTTGCATTTTAAGCTACTCCCCCTTCCGGAGTCCACGCTGCCTTTTCTTTGCCTCATGCCACATTCCAGCGGGCGCCGAGAGTTTATTTTCACGCTTCAGCCGGCTGCTTTTATTCTTGCGCCCCATAACCGGCCCGCTGGAAATCTTGTACTGGCAAAGAGTGAGGGGGATCAGTCTTTTTAATCAATGAATCCACAAGGAGGAGGATTTGGGAAACGCAGAGTTGTTCTGGGACAACAGCAAACTTCCTGCTCCGGGTCCTTAAGATTACAGTGGTATGTCGGTTTTCGAACGTCTTGGAAGTCGAACATTTCGGTTTTCGAACGCCGTAAACCCGGAAGGAAATGCTTCGGTTTTCAAACATGCCTTGGAAGTCGAACATGACACACGGCTTCTGCTGAGTGCAAGATCCGGAGGCCTAGCTGTCGGCTATTGAGTTTTCGGTTTTCAAAAGTTTTGGAACTTGAACAGTCTTCCAGAACGGATTATGTTCCAAAACTGAGGTACCACTGTATACATATCTTGTTGTTCAGCATGAGCTTGCTGTGCATGGGATGTAGTGCGTGGCACACACACCACACACACACACACACACACACAGAGTTGGGCCCTGCATTCCAGTTTCCTGCTTGTAGCAGCTCCTTGCTTCTCTTCTCCTTATCAAAGCCTCTCCCAAGTGACTTGGCTGTTCCCCAGTTTGTTCTTCCAGGCAACTTGAGCACCCTCAGCTCGGCTCCTTGACTTCAAGCATCGCCCAAGGAGGATCTTGGCATCCTGGCGTCGCCCGTTCTGTCTCAGGCCCCTTGGGGCTGTGGCAGGGAGACCCTTTTCTCCCCAGGCAGGCACCAAGGGGGGTGGGTCTCTGCAGTAGCTTCATTCCCCGCAGCCTGGATCAGAATGGGCCTTTGGCTTGATTTGTCTACGGGGCTCTTCTCATATTCTCATGTCGTACCTCCACTATCCATGGCAGTATACCCTTTAATGTCAGTTTTGGGGAATCCCAAGTTTCTGCTCTGCTCAGAGGGTTCCTTTTGGGGTTCCTGGTTGGCTGCTGTGAGATGAGGAGTCTGGACTAGACGGTGCCCCTGGGCCTGATCCAGCAAGCTCATATTATATATATATAATTTTTTTTACCAACCACCAGAACACAGTGAAACCCCCCAGGCGGCTGATACATTGGGTATACAATATTCAATAATAAACATATTCAATAATAACATATTCAAACTAACCATACATACACTTCTATATACCTTAACACTCCTCCTTCCACAAGGTTTATTTAACTTTTAACATTTTAATTGCCCCAAATTGTTCAAACCTACTCAAATAATTCAATATCTTCTCAAACCAATCCTCCTCTTTCTCACTGACCTTAAACCCTTTCATTCTATGTATCTTCACAGTTAGGTATTCTAAAATTATAATATTATTCAGTTTTCTCCTCCATTGCTTCACCCCTAGCTCTTCTGCATTTTTCCAATTACTCCCAGCAAGCTCTTATTATATCGAACCACTATCAAAAGCAGTATACCTCTAAACACCAGTTGCTGTGACGCATGATAAGAAACTATGTAATTTGATATACCTAAACGTTATCCCATTGCGTCTGCTCTGATTAATTTGAAGTATTATTACTGTATATATACAATTGGCAGATATTGGATGGGAAGCCCACTTTTTTATTGTTTTGTTGTTTTGGGGTTTTCCTGTTTTGCCCTTAACTTAGCTCTTTTTGTTTTTAATTTTTTCTGAAGTCCTCTACCCTGGACTGATGAGGACATACACAGAGAGGGGACAGGTGGGTGACGAGGGGCTCTGTGTGGGAGACCGGGGAAAGAAACAGGAATTCCCAGGTGAGAGCTGGGAAAGTCAGCTTTTCTGTACAGTGGTACCTCGGTTTTCGAACGTCTCCGTTGACGGAATGTTTCGGAACTCAAACGCCGTAAACCCGGAAGTAAATGCTTCCGTTTTCAAAAGTCAAACTGCTTCCGCTGTGTGTATATGTTATTTTCCTCAATTTTCTCTATTAAATTTGCTGACTGCCCTTTGCGCCTCGGTTTTTGGAACTCGAACAGTCTTCCAGAACGGATTATGTTCGAAAACTGAGGTACCACTGTATGTGGATAAAGAATATGGCACAATTGTGATGAGAGGGTTTTTATATCTTTTTTTCCCCTTCTCTCTCTTGCCTTTTGGTTTTTTCTCTTATTTTGGGCTTTTCTGTATCTTTCTCTCTCTCTAGATTAGATTGACTTTTATTGTATCGCATGTTGAAAACTTTCAATAAAATATTGAAACGCCAGTGGCTGGGATTCACAAGTTCGAAGATATGCTCAGTCCTTGCTTGGGGCATCTTTGAGAACAGGACATTGGGCGATATGGATCACTGGCCGGATCCAGCAGGATCTTCTGAGGTTCATCGATGTCTCTCGTCTTCCCATTGAGGCATCGAAAGAGAAGGACTCATCATATCCAGGGGCAGTCTACCTCCAAGTCCCAGTCCCTGGAAAGCGCAGGAGGGGAGACTTTGCTCTTGTGTTCGAATCCTGCTTGCGGGTTTCCCATTGTGGGCAGAAGGCCTTTGGACTCAATCCACCCTCAGGGCTCTTCCAACAATTGGGAATGTTCCATCTGGGCCTGGTTGCCATCTTTGGTCTGGAACAAATACAGTGGTACCTCTGGTTGCGAACGGGATCCGTTCCGGAGGCCCGTTCGCAACATGAAAAGAGCGCAACCCGCAGCAGCGCGTCTGCGCACATGCGAGTTGCGATTCACCGCTCTGCTTCTGAGCATGAGCGTGACGTCATTTTGCGCTTCTGCGCATGCGCGAGTGGCAAAACCCGGAAGTAACCCTTTCCAGTACTTCCGAGTCGCCACGGGACATAACCTGAAAGAACGTAACATGAAACAAACGTAACATGAGGTATGACTGTATAGGTCAGGGGTGGGGTTTGTGGGGCACACACACGTGCGCCACCACATTCTGCCCCATTGTGGAGGAGCTCTACCTTAGGGCCCCACTCTCTTGGGGGCCCCAAAAAATTTAAAGGGAAAAAAACTGGATGTACATTTCCAAAACAAAAGATAAAAAAAAACCTACATACAGCAACGTTGTGTTGTGTAGGCTCCTATGATGTAAGTCATGGGCCCCGCCTGCTAGCCTGCTCCCTAAAATATCACTGGTTTGCTCATTTCTATATATAGGGTGCCTACATTCTGCTATTTATAATTATTAGTAGTTTGCATCATAGATTGACACCTATTATTTCATGTTATAGCAAGTTTGTAGAGACTATTATAAGTCTTTGTAAATTGCGTTTCTAAAGAAACTTTTGTTATTGCCAAATGCCAGTGTGTTTGCATTATTAAGTTTGTTATGAATAAAAAAATCATTTTAAGTTAGAGCTTAATAATGATTTCACTATTAATATATTTCTTCTTAATTGTATTTCAGTTCAACAATTACTTTGATAAAATACACATTTTGTTATGTGCAAATGGCTTTAGATACCTATTAGGTCCATCAATTACCGTATAGCATATATTCAACACAAAAAAACAGTGGCAATTTGTTGTTGACCAAGGACAGTTGGACATAAAGGGCCCCATTGCCTTCAGTAGCTTAGGGCCTCACCAAACCGAAATCCAGCCCTGTTGGGGTGGCAGAGGAGGCTAAGTTGCAGAGGATCTGTACCAGGCTAGAACGGCAGGTGGTGGCAACCCTTCCTGGGACAGATCCTGGTAGGGGAGAAAGAAGGTGGGTGCTCCATGCTCAAGACGAGAGCAGCATCCTTCTTCCACCTAACCGCTCTTCTTTCCCTGCTCTCAGGTGGCTCACGCGTCCAAGCGGTCGGATGAGTCCTCCTTCCCTGAAGACACAGAATCGGAGGCCGTGCGCCAGCGCTGGAGGAAATACGCGGAGCTTTCCGACGACGAGGATCTGCTAGCGGACGAGGCTTCCGGAGGTGAGGGTTGGGCTGGGGAAATTTCCGCCTCTTCCAAAGCACCACGTTTGGCTATGCAAAGGACGTACGGCGGAGCTTGCCGCAATGTCCGAATCTCGATTTTCGCAAAAGCTGTGTGTCTGAAGATTCAGGGCAGACAAAATAAAGTCCTTCACAGAGTGCAGAGTTCACCTGTGGAACTCCCTCCCACAAGAGGCAATGACAGCCGCCACCTTGAACGGCTTTAAAAGAGGATTGGACAAATTCGTGGAGGAGGCTCTCGGTGTATTTATATTTCATTTTCAGTGAAGAAATAAATTGAAGGAGATAAAAAACAGAAAAACTGCATTCCAAATGTCATATTTATCCATTCACAACATACGTCTAAAAGCAATCTGTTCGTATGTCACAAGAAATATCTTCTATCACATTTTCTATTTATTGATCAAAGGGTAGTATTATCTTTCCAATGGATCAATATCAGTCTTTTGGCAAAAGTAAGGGTTACCTCTGTTGACCCACTGTCAAACCGCACATACTTAGAGTGTGGTTTAGGATAATATTATCATCTGACAATTTTAACTCCCCCCCCCCATTAGTATTTATACATCCGAACACTTTTCTCCTTGTTTAATTGCGTTTTTAATAATGATAATCTTGGAGTTGAAGAACCCCATAGGCATTTCTTTAATAATGAGCTTATTTTCTGGGAATATTTTCTGGGAATATGGACTGTGATTCCTCTTGTGATATAATATGGGAGTAATATTCATTTACTCTTCCCCAAAAGGGTTTAATGACTCCCACCAGTCAGTGTCTATGGAAACCTCTTTGATTTTTTTGTTCCTATTACCTGGTTTTGGTTCTGGATTATATCTCTTGGAATTAAAATACCAAAGTACTGAAATAATAATAATAATAATAATAATAATAATAATAATAATAATAATAAATTTATTTATACCCCGCCCATCTGGCTGGGTTTCCCCAGCTACCCTGGGAGGCTCCCAAAAGAATAATGCGGAACTGATATTTCTTAAATGAATGTATTGGCACCTTTTCGCCCATTGGCACCAGTTCTGATTTAACCCAGTTAATAGAGTAGCCAGAAATTGACCAAAAGTATTTATTGTTTGCAACAGCCTTTGGATACCAGTGTGAGGTTTTGTGATAAACCAAAGTGTGACATCTGCAGATGAAACCCACTGATATTCAACTGAGTTGTGAACTGCTCTGTAGATCTCGCTATGTTGTCTAATAGCACAGACCAAGGGTTCGAAGCGGAACTCTTAATGTGCCCTTGGAAGGGGGTGGACTCTCCATCTCTGAAGACGGTTCAGAGACTTCAGCTGGTGCAGAATTAAGCGGCCAAGTTGCTCACTGGAGCAAGACGGTTTGAGCACATGACACCGACCTGGCCTGATTGCACTGGCTACCAAATTGCTCCCAGGCCCAATTCAAAGTGCTGGTTTTGACCCACAAAGCCTTAAACAGCTCAGGACCGCAATACTTCAAGGACCGCCTCTTCCCATATGAACCTACCTGGACCCTGAGATCACCTTCTTAGGCCCTCCTTTGTGCGCCTCCTCCTTGAGAGGTCCAGAGGGTGGCAACATGAGAACGGGGCCTTCTCTGCAGTGGCTCCCCGTCTATGGAATGCTCTCCCCAGGGAAGTTCACCTGGTGCCTTCATTACACACCTTTAGGTGCCAGGAAAAAATGTACCTTTTTAACCAGGCCCTTGGTTCATCTGTTTGACATCCTATACCCCTTTAAAATGTGGCTCTTTTCTGGGGGAGCTGTTATTGGATTGTTGTTTTTTAAATAATAATAATAATAATAATAATAATAATAATAATAATAATAATTATACCCCACCCATCTGGCTGGGATTCCCCAGCCACTCTGGGTGGCTTTCAACAGAATATTAAAATACAACAATCTATTAAACATCAAAAGCTTCCCTAAACAGGGCTGCCTTCAGATGTCTTTTAAAAGTCAGATGGTTGTTTATTTCCTTGACATCTGGTGGGAGGGCTGGCACCACTACTGAGAAGGCCCTCTGCCTGGTTCCCTGTAACTTAGCTTCTCGCAGGGAGGGAACCGCTAGAAGGCCCTCAGTGCTGGACCTCAGCGTCCGGGCAGAACGATAGGGGGTGGAGACGCTCCTTCAGGTATACTGAGCTGAGGCCATTTAGGGCTTCCTTCCAACTGTACAATGCTACGACTCTATGCTGGCTCAGGTGACACTCACATCGTGGTACTTGCTTTCCCTTGCAGATGGGTATGGAAGTGGCGAGAACGGCAGCGGAACAGTCTCCCCAGACAAGCCTCTCCCCACCATTGAGCCTCTCTTCTCCACAGGTAAGAGGCCAGTTGGGTTTTGGTCTAGTGGTGGGGTACAAGACATCTCCAGATTCAATCCCCAAAGTCCCCCTTCCCGAGGAAACTCTGGCTGTAGAGCTGGCAGCACCCTGGGGTGCAGCTGCTGGCAGAAAGTCCTGAGCTGGGTGTAACAGGGCTCCTAACAGCTTCATACATGGGTGGGCAGGACGGGGGAGAAATTTGCAAAGGTCCCTCAACCAAATTGGCCGGTCCTGGACATACGTGTGGGTCAGAGCGCAGATATCAGTTGGATTGCAAATGTCAGAATGCGGGTAAAGGTAAAGAAACCCCTGACCATTAGGTCCAGTCGTGGCCAACTCTGGGGTTGCGGCACTCATCTCGCTTTATTGGCCGAGGGAGCCGGCGTACAGCTTCCGGGTCATATGGCCAGCATGACTAAGCCGCTTCTGGCGAACCAGAGCAGCGCACGGAAATGCCGTTTACCTTCCCGTCGGAGCGGTACCTATTTATCTACTTGCACTTTGATGTACTTTCGAACTGCTAGGTGGGCAGGAGCTGGGACCGAGCAACGGGAGCTCACCCTGTGTCGCAGATTCGAACCTCCGACCTTCAGATCAGCAAATCCTAGGCTCTGTGGTTTAACCCACAGCACCAGCCGCGTCCCTTTTTGACCAGAATGCGGGTATCAGTCATTAAAAAAAAACCAACCCTGGACGGTTAAGTCCAGTCAAAGGCAACTATCGGGTTGCGGCGCTCATCTTGCTTTCAGGCCGAGGGAGTCGGCGTTTGTCCACAGACAGGTTTCCGGGTCATGTGGCCAGCAGGACTAAACTGCTTCTGGCGCAACAGGACACCGTGACGGAAGCCAGAGCGCACAGAAATACTGTTTACTTTCCCGCCACAGTGGTACCTATTTATCTACTCACACTGGTGTGCTTTCGAACAGCTAGGTTGGCAGGAGCTGGGGCAGAGAGACAGGAGATCACCCCGTTGCATGGATTCTAACCGCCGACCTTCTGATCAGCAAGCCCAAGAGGCTCAGTCGTTTAGACCACAGGAGAAGGTGGTGGACTTGGAGATTTTTAAACAGAGGTTGAATGACCTGTCTATCAGGAATTCTTCCGCTGTGATTCCTGCTGAGCTAGAGGACCCTGTAGTTCTCTGATGGAGATTTTAGCTCCTAAATAATACAAACAAGAGCTCCCATTTTACAGGGGAAATGCAGAATAAAAGGGTTGCGTTTAATGAAGCTTTAAGTTACCATCAACTACCGGGGTGTTGCGGCATGGGAGAATGAATATTGCAGGTTGTGGGTGACTTAGTTGAGCTTTGTTGAGATTGCATGATCTGTCATGCGCTGAGGCCTTTGGATTTGGTGCAGTGTTAAATCCGCAGTGAAATTTTGCTCGAATGGTGCTTGCTGGTTTCCCATAAGGGAAATACAAAACATTAAACAAAGCCACAAAGACTTGCGAACTACACAGCCTAAAATGAAATTATAATGTCTGGTTTCAATAGATTTTTCAAATGCTTGAACTTAACTATTAAATAAGTTCATGAAGATACCAACAAAAGGTAAGTTTGATGATATTCACAATACTGAGAGATGCTAGTTGAGTTGTAAGGTAAAGGTAAAGGGACCCCTGACCATTAGTTCCAGTCGTGGCTGACTCTGGGGTTGCGGCGCTCATTTCGCTTCATTGGCCGAGGGAGCCGGCGTACAGCTTCCAGGTCATGTGGCCAGCATGACTAAGCCGCAAGCGAACGGAAACGCCATTTACCTTCCCGCCGGAGTGGTACCTATTTATCTACTAGCACTTTGACGTGCTTTCGAAGTGCTAGGTTGGCAGGAGCAGGGTGAAACAGGTGCAAAATGCCGGCACCCTGTCGTCTACAACTTCATTGTCTTCATCTTTATTAACATCTATCTACAACTCTACTGGGGGCATGGGGGGGGGGCGCTGTGTTCTATACCACAGAGCCTAGGGCTTGCCGATCAGAAGGTCGGTGGTTCAAATCCCCGTGACGGGGTGAGCTCCCGTTGCTCGGTCCCTGCTCCTGCCAACCTAGCAGTTTGAAAGCACGTCAAAGTGCAAGTAGATAAATAGGTACCGCTCCAGCGGGAAGGTAAACAGCGTTTCCGTGCGCTGCTCTGGTTTGCCAGAAGCATCTTAATCATGCTGGCCACATGACCTGGAAGCTGTACACCGGCTCCCTCAGCCAATAAAGTGAGATGAGTGCCGCAACCCCAGAGTCGGTCACGACTGGACCTAATGGTCAGGAGTCCCTTTACCTTAACCTTATAGCTCTACTAGCATCTCTCGGTAGTGTGAATATCGAACTTACCTTTTGTTAGTATCTTCGTGAACAGACTGAGTTAAGCATTTGAAAAATCTATTGAAACCAGACATTATAAGTTCATTTTAGGCTGGGTCATTTGCAAGTCTTTGTGGCTTTGTTTAACGTTTTGTATTTTTCTCGGAAGGTTGATAAGGAATGTATAATTATTGTTCTGTGTACATTAATCGCCAATGTGTTGCATGAGTCTCACTACTTCTTTCAGCAGCAGCGATTGCATTTTTCTAGCAGGTTTCCCATAAGGGGCAACTGGGAGCCACTGGGAGAAGGGGATGCTGAACTGGACGGGCCACTGGTCTGATCCACCAGGACTCTTCTTCCTCTGTTCTTCGTCTCCCGAAGCCTCTCGCCCACCAGACCTTGTTCCTGAGCTCCCATTTGGGGCATCTGGTCTGTGCTGGCAACCGGCAAGAGCCTGCGGCATGCCCAGTCGTGCCACGGAGGGCGTCTGGTTCCGGATTCCTGCCTGAGCCGTGGGCAGGAGAGGCCTGGGGCGGTTTCCAGAGCCGCTGGCGAGATGAGTCCCTGCCGGCCCCATCCCATTCCCGACCCATGAGGCCCATCCATCTGTGGGGGAGGCTTTTTGGAAAGGCGGAGGCCTGTCTTGTCTGGCGCGTCTCGGCAGCAGAAGTCGCCTCCGGCCCCTTCGACTATCCAGAGCATCTGTGCTCATTTCCAGCTTCCTGGTTCCTTTATTTATTGCCATTCTATCCTACCTTTTCCTCCGACATGGCCTTTCCCCCCATTCCCTCCCCACAACAACCCTGTTTGGTAGGCTAGACTGAGAGGCAGGGATTGGTCGTCAAGGTCAACCAGTGAGCTTCTTGTCTGAGTTGGGGGGGATTTGAACTTTGGTCTCCCAGGTCCTGGTTCGACACTCTAACCACTATGCCATACTGCCTCTCAGTGCGGGAGTTGGAAGCTTGGGAGAGAAGGAACAGAATCCACCTTTATCTGTCCCTGAACCTTTTTTTTTAAGGACAACCAACCAGAAATAGGCCAGATTCTGCCTTCTAGCTTAGGCTGGCGCAGGGCGTGTGTCGGCCCCTCTGCTTAGGAGCAAGGCTGAGAGCGCTGCCAAAAGACTGCAAGGCCCTGGGTTCAATTTCTGGCAGCATCTCCCCGTAAGGATGCAAATACCTGAAACCCCAGAGTGTTTCTGCCAGCCAGTGTTGATGTTGTTGCGCTCAATGCGGTGTATGTTTGACTTGGCATAAGGCAGCTAAGGTGGGGGGGGCATGGGCTTCCCCTCTTTATTCCCCCTGCAGAGGTGTTGGAGTGCAGGCCCCCCCAACACAAATGGCCATGTCCTAATTGATATAGAGGTGTGCATTTGGAGTGAATTTCAGAGGGGAAAACAAACACTGGCTGCATACCACCCACCCAAAGAAGAAATCTGGGAATAGTAGTTTCTTGTGGGTGCTGGGAATTGTAGTTTATTGTGGGTGCTGGGAACTGTAGCTCTCTTGGTGGGCGCCAAACTACATTTCCATGGGGGGAATGTGCTTTAAATTTGTTGGGGCGCATCCAGTCACGTTCTCCTCGAAGCAGACCCACTGAAACGAATGAACCCAAGTCATGCATGCTCATTAGCTTCAGTGGGTCTACTCTGAGTAGGGCTGGCATTGGTGACAACCCTCCCCGGTACACCAGCTACACCACTTGCTGCCAGAGATGTTTTGCGTGCAAGTCGATGGGGCCCTCTTGCAAACAAGGCAGCAGCTGTTGCGTGCGTGTTTGTGTTTTTCATCCCGTAAGCAAAGCTTTTAGAAGAGAAAACAAATTACTTTTAAAAAGCCGAGGGGGGAGAGAGAGAGAGAGAGAGAGAGAGAGAGAGAGAGAGAGAGAGAGGTCTAGATCCCTGCTTGCAAAAGCGGGCTGGGTGTGTAAAGTTTATGTTGGGTGCAGTCCCTCCTCAGCTGCCTGGGCCTGCTGCAGAATTTGGGTCTGTGCACATGCATGTATTTTTATTTTAAGCCGCTCCGCTCCTTTTGACATCTTGGGTGGGGGAAAACCCCAGACCATCTCTGCTCCCCGGGAGGCAACCCAAGGGGAGACGGGATCTGGTGGGGTGAGTCCCTTGGAAGTTTGGGGCTACGGCCCCCCTCTATCTAGGGGGGGTGCCAAGATGGGGGGGTTGAAGGCAGGGAGGGGGATAGATCCGGTGGGTGGGTGGGGGGCGTTGGAAGCACAAACCTCTCCACACACGCCCATGCTGTTTCATGTTCCCTTCCCCACACAGCCCTCAGACACACCCACAGACCTGCAAACCTGCGTCAGAATTCAGAGGAAATTCAAAACAATGCGCAGAGCTCATTTCCCCCCAGATGTTCTATGCTGAAGCATGCTTATCCTTCGCCTGCAATTGTAAACACCTCTGGTCTGGTTGGCTTTGGGGAGCTCACCCATTTTGGGAGAGCATCACTGCGGGTGTGGAGGACCACAGCTCTCCTGGTAGGCAAACTAAGGCCCGGGGGCTGGATCCGGCCCAGTCGCCTTCTAAATCCAGCCCGTGGATGGTCCAGGAATCTGTGTGTTTTTGCATGAGTAGAATGTGTCCTTTTATTTAAAATGCATCTCTGGGTTATTTGTGGGGCCTGCCTTGTGTTTTTACATGAGTGGAACGTGTGCTTTTATTTAAAAGGCATCTCTGGAGGCGGTTGGAGGATGGATGGCGGCTAACAGATTGAGGTTGAATCCTGACAAGACAGAAGTACTATTTTGGGGGGACAGGAGGCGGGCGGGTGTGAAGGACTCCCTGGTCCTGAATGGGGTAACTGTGCCCCTGAAGGACCAGGTGCGCAGCCTGGGAGTCATTCTGGACTCACAGCTGTCCATGGAGGTGCAGGTCAATTCTGTGTCCAGGGCAGCTGTTTATCAGCTCCATCTGGTACGCAGGCTGAGACCCTACCTGCCCGCAGACTGTCTCGCCAGAGTGGTGCATGCTCTAGTTATCTCCCGCTTGGACTACTGCAATGCGCTCTATGTGGGGCTACCTTTGAAGGTGACCCGGATACTGCAACTAATCCAGAATGCGGCAGCTAGACTGGTGACTGGGAGCAGCCGCTGAGACCATATAACACCGGTCTTGAAAGAACTACACTGGCCCGCCCGTTTCCGAGCACAATTCAAAGTGTTGGTGTTGACCTTTAAAGCCCTAAACGGCCTCGGTCCTGTATACCTGAAGGAGTGTCTCCACCTCCATCGTTCTGCCCGGACACTGAGATCCAGCGCCGAGGGCCTTCTGGCGGTTCCCTCGCTGTGAGAAGCCAAGTTACAGGGAACCAGGCAGAGGGCCTTCTCGGTGGTGGCACCCGCCCTGTGGAACGCCCTCCCACCAGATGTCAAAGAGAAAAAAACTACCAAACTTTTAGAAGACATCTGAAGACAGCCCTGTTTAGGGAAGCTTTTAATGTTTAATAGATTATTGTAATTTAGTGTTCTGTTGGAAGCTGCCCAGAGTGGCTGGGGAAACCCAGCCAGATGGGCGGGGTATAAATAAATTATTATTATTATTAGTGCAGCATAGGAATGCGTTCATTATTTCCCTCAAAAAAATATAGTCCGGCCCCCCACAAGGTCTGAGGGACAGTAGACCGGCCCCCTGCTGAAAAAGTTTGCTAACCCCTGTCCTGGCTGAACAGATGGGGCAATGGAGGCGTTTCACATGGGTGGGGGGAGGCAGGAGGGCTGCAGGGAGGGGGTTGTTAGGGATATGCCTGGGAGGAAATTTAGGTGGGGTTGTTGTTGGGAGCATAGCAGTGAGCATGCCCATGCTTGGTCCTTTCGTCTTGGCCCCCCATCCTGCCCCATATGTCTACTTCCTTCCCTCCTATTGATGGCTGACAATTCAGCACTCAATAGCCAAACTTCCCTGCCCTTCCTACCTTCCTCAGTGGAGCATGGTGCTGATGATGCCAAGGTTGCAGGATCAGTCCCCATCTGGGACAGCTGCATATTTCAGCATTTCAGGACTAGATGACCATGTCATAAGGGGGGGAAACCCTGCTCTTTTCCCCTTATCGGGTATCCAAGAGCCCAGATAGATTCCTTAAGTTGGTTCCCTATCGGTGGGAGAAAATAACAGAGGCCAACCAGAGAACATTGAGAAGCAAAGTGGCTAGTAAGCCTGATCTTTATCCAACTGTTGCAACAGGGTCCCCACTCACCACACGCAGGAGGCAGAAAGAACCCAGAACAATGGTCAAGGTAAAGGTAAAGGTACCCCTGCCCATAGGGGCCAGTCTTGACAGACTCTAGGGTTGTGCGCCCATCTCTCTCTATAGGCCAGAGGCCAGCGCTGTCCCCAGACACTTCCGGGTCACGTGGCCAGCGTGACAAGCTGCATCTGGCGAGCCAGCGCAGCTCACGGAACGCTGTTTACCTTCCCGCTAGTAAGCGGTCCCTATTTATCTACTTGCACCCGGGGGTGCTTTCGAACTGCTAGGTTGGCAGGCGCTGGGACCGAGCAACGGGAGCGCACCCTGCCACGGGGATTCGAACCGGCGACCTTTCGATCGGCAAGTCCTAGGCGCTGAGGCTTTAACCCACAGCGCCACCCGCGTCCCTTAGAACAATGGTACATAAACCCTTATAGACTTTTTGAAATTGCCCACCCTGGAGCCCAAGGTAAAGGGACCCCTGACCATTAGGTCCAGTCCTGGCCGACTCTGGGGTTGCAGCGCTCATCTCGCTTTACTGGCCGGGGGAGCCGGCGTACAGCTTCCGGGTCATGTGGCCAGCATGACTAAGCCGCTTCTGGCGAACCAGAGCAGCGCACGGAAATGCTGTTTACCTTCCCGTTGGAGCGGTACCTATTTATCTACTTGCACTTTGAGGTGCTTTTGAACTGCCAGGTTGGCAGGAGCAGGGACCGAGCAACGGGAGCTCACCCCGTCGCAGGGATTTGAACTGCCAACCTTCTGATCGGCAAGCCCTAGGCTCTGTGGTTTAACCCACAGCGCCACCTGCGTCTCATTAAACCCTTATATAGACTTTTGAAATTGCCCACCCTGGAGCCCAAGACCACTCCCCCAAAACATCATATATGTATCACAGAAGGGGGTGGTCTACATCAGAAATAGATCACCAGAGGCTGTCTCCAGCAGAAATCCTGTTTGCCAGGATATCTGTTAATGGTCACTGATCGCTTTACCTGAGCAGCCTGGCCTTTCCTTTGGGATGGTAAATACTTTAAATTCCTGAATCCAGTTCACAGGCTCACCCTATTCACACACAAATGTGCCCTTAAGACAGGTAAGCAAAAGACAATGGAGAGGCTTTCCCATTTCCTTCCTCTCTATAGAGAAATATTTGAGGACAATTTGGGAGAGTCAAAATGACTTCAGGATGGGTCTCCTGTACTATCTCAGGCACGTGGTTTATATCCTTATGTGTGTGTGTTTGCCTTGTAAATTTATGATTTATATATTTGAGATTTATAAATTCTTACAACAACCCTCAGGGTCTCTTCCAACTCTACAATTCTATGATTCTATTATTCCTTCGCCAGCTGCCTCAATAACCAAACCTCTCCACCCTTCCTTCCAAATTTCTGTGTCCTTCCTTTTCTGTTACTCTTAGTCGGGCACTAGAATTTTCAATAACAAAACTGGTTTTTCCTCTCCTTCTCTCTTCTCTTCTCTTCTCTTCTCTTCTCTTCTCTTCTCTTCTCTTCTCTTCTCTTCTCTGCAGACCTTCCATCTCCTCCTCCTGTCGGGCTCCCTCCCCCTGCAAGCATGACGGGTGCAGAGACCCCTGAGGACGACTCTCTGCTCAGTAAGTGGCTAGTCCCTAACCCACTGTTATAGAAAACACTGCTCCTTTTCCCTTATGGGGTATCCAAGAGCCCAGATAGAGTCCTTCTGTGGGTTCCCCATCGGTAGGAGAAAATAACAGAGAATATTGAGAAGCAAAGCGGCTAGTAAGCCTGATCTTTATCCAACTGTTGCAACAGGATCCTCACTCACCACATACAGGAGGGAGGAGGAACCCAGAACAATGGTGTGCAAGCCCTTATATAGACTTTTGAAGTTGCCCACCTTGTAGCCAGAGACCACCCCCCAAAGCATCATACATACATCACAGAAGGGGGTGGTCTACAGCAGAAATACATCACAAGAGGCAGTCTCCAGCAGAAATCCTAGGATACCTGATAATGGCCACTGATTGCTTTACCTGGGCAGCCTGACCATGCTTTTGTGAAGGTAAATACCTGAATTCCTGAATTCAGGTCACAGGCTCACCCTCTTCATACACAAATACGCCCTTAAGACAGGTAAGCAAAAGTCAATGCCATTTCCTTCCTCCTTTCAGAGAAATATTTGAGGACAATTTGGGAGAGTCAAAATGGTTTGGGAGAGTCAAAATGGCTTTAGGATTGTTCTCCTGTACTATTTCAGACACGTGGTTTATATACTTATGCATGTGTTTGCCTTGTACATTTATGAAGGTTTATTTAATATTCTTATACCACCCCCCAGCATGGGTCATTGCAGCCTGCATGTGAAGAAAGCCAGAGGCTATGCTGCCAGGAGGGGGCTGAGTTGGGGTGCCCTGCTGTGCCCCCCAAAGCCATTGTTATGGTCAGAAGAAAGCTGTTTTTTTGGTGGTGGGGGGCAATGGAATAATTAGCTGCCTGCTGGAAATTGTCTGGCAGGGAGAGGGGTGTCGTGGAGCGAGGGCAATGGTGCTCAGTGGTTAGAGCACCTGCTTTGCAGGTTCAGCTCAGGGCGGCGTCACCAGGTAGTGCTGGAAATCTCCCTGCAGAGCTGCTGCCAGTCAGAGTCAACATTATTGAGCTAGGTGGACTGATGGTCCGACTCGGTCGACAAAGACAGCTTCCCGTTATTCTATCCGAGAACAAGTTGGGTGCCTGGGAATTTTTGGGTGGGCGTTTAAGGAGTGCTTTGTGATGATCCCATGGGTGATCTCTCTACCCCTGGACTTTTGCAATGAGGGAAGGGGGGGTTTGGCCAGCCAAACTGACTCAGCCAACAGGAAGAAGCCCGCAGACCTCTCTCTCTCTCTCTTTTATTGTTCTCCTTCTGCGACTCAAAGTGATTTTCCAGCTCACCCGCCCCAGGGAGCGAGAGGCAAGGCACTGAGTGCAGGGCTCCTTAAAAGGAATCAAAGACTTGGGGCTGATTTTTACACGACTGGAGCAACTGCAGGGCCGGTGTGTGTGTGTGTGTGTGTGTGACATTTGCCAAGCCTTTACAGGGTGCAGGCGGATAAATCTGCCTGGATATTTGCCTGGTCCTCTGCTCCGCTACCCCCACCCTGCTGCCTTTGCCAGGCCTCTTCCCTCTCTTTAAGAGCCTGGCGCCCGGATCAGGCCAAAAAACCTCATCTGGCCCAAGCGTCCGGTTCTCAGCGTGGCCAGACAGATGCTCCAACAGGCAGCAGCCCCAGGGTGCAGCAGCAGCACCCTCCCCGCTTGTGAGTCACAGGGATTTGGAGGTAGACTGCGCCTGCATCTGGAGGCTCCATCGGTTGAGCGTAGTGAAGCTAAGAAGCGGCGAAGGGCCTGGTGGATCAGGCCAGTGTGCCCCATCTAGTTCACAGAGTCCTGCTCTCACAGTGGCCAACCAGATGCCCATTGTGGGAAGCCCGCAAGCAGGACCCGGGTGCGAAAGAAGCTGGAATCCCCGTGGTTCCCAGAAACAGGCATTCTGAAGTATTACTGCTCCGGATTGTGGAGCCTTTCCCCTTAAAACCCTTCCTTTGTTTAGAAGGGGCCTGCCGCCTCCCCACCCCACCTTCTATGGGTCTGCTTGTATCTCCTTTTGTAACTCCTTTCCAGGAGTTGGGGCCAAGATGGCTTCTCCTCGCAAGCCCACATCTGGCTCCCCAGATGTGCCCCAGGCCATCGCCCAGGCCTTGTCCCAAACAGGTGAGGCTGTGGCAGGAGATTCAGCCTTGACATTGTTCCTGGGGCAGCAGGCTTGCCCCAGGCCGCTGTCTCATCCCTTGCCCTCTTCAGAGGGGGCCACATCCCCCAAAATGCTTCTTTGTCTCTGAGAGCCAGTCTTGCATAGTGGTTTCATCATCGGACTTGGATTCAAATCCCTCCACTCGGCCAGGAAGTTCACTGGGTGTGACCTTGGGGGCCAGCGCCCCTGCCTCTCAGCCTGATCTACCTCACAGGGCTGTTGTGGGGATTGAAATGCGGAAGGGGGAGAACAGTGGGATATGAATGCCGTGAAACAGAAAGAGATAAAGGCTGCCTGCCTATTCCCTGACAATAGCTGTGCCCCAGCAGAGAGGGAACTGCACTCTACATGCGCTCAGAGGAAGCACCTTCCTCTGCTGTTTTGCTCCCACCTTCCAGAGCTGAGCTTCCAGCACTTAAAAATAAATAAATAAATAAATAAATAATAATAATAATAATAATAATAATAAATCTTTCATCAATAATAATAATAATAATAATAATAATAATAATACAGTGGTACCTCGGGTTACATACGCTTCAGGTTACATATGCTTCAGGTTACAGACTCCGCTAACCCAGAAATAGTACCTCGGGTTAAGAACTTTGCTTCAGGATGAGAACAGAAATCGTGCTTTGGCGGCGCGGCAGCAGCAGGAGGCCCATTAGCTAAAGTGGTGCTTCGGGTTAAGAACAGTTTCAGGTTAAGAACAGACCTCCGGAACAAATTAAGTACGTAACCAGAGGTACCACTGTAATAATAATAATAAATTTTATTTATATCCTGCCTCCCCCAGCCGAAGCCGGGCTCAGAGCAGCTAACAACAATAAAAGTAACACAGCATTCTAAAATCAATTCATTCTAGAATCAATTCAAAATCGAATTAATGGCAACCGTTGGGCTGGAGTTCTGGGAGGATTACCGAAGGAAGGGGTCAGGCTGTGCCTTGGCCAAAGGCCTGGTGGAACAGCTCTGTCTTGCAGGCCCTGCGGAAAGATGTCAAGTCCCACAGGGCCCTGGTCTCTTGTGACAGAGCGTTCCACCAGATCGGGGCCACAGCCGAAAAAGCCCTGAGTTTCAAAGGGCTGGATTAATCCTTGGGGTGATACTAACCCCGGAGGCAACAATCTGGGTCACCCCCCCAAAAAAAATGTTGCAGAACCTGGCATGAAAGATTTGCATGTGGCTGTGGCAAGGAAGAGAGTAAGGCAATGGGGGTTTTTTTGGGGGGGGGGGGTGAGAGAACCGCCCCTTTCCATTTCCTCCTCCCAAACATTCATCCCCCTTAGGAAAAAAATACTGTTAGGGCATTAGAAAGGGCTGTTTGAATCCATGGGCATGGCACATTCTTTGGGGGTGACTCTGCAGGCAGGGAGGAGCGGGCAGCTCTTGCCAGGTCATGGGGGCACAGTGGCACATGGGGCATCTGAATGGGGCCTTTGTATGGGTCGGACAACGGGTACCCCTGTTTGCCCGGGCTGCATTGGAGTGGGATACAGGCACCCTGGCATCCCTGCCTTGGGTTGCTGTCCTGGGAGTTGGAGAAGGAGGGCTAATGCAATTCTGGGCTGCATCCCCAGAAGTCTAGTGTCCAGACCAAGGGAAGTACCGTATTTTTCGCCCCATAGGACGCACCAAGTTTTTTGGGGGGGAAATAAGGGGGGGGGTTTTATTTCCCCCCCAGGCGCTTGTGGGGCTGGCAGCGGGGAGAAGCGCTCTTCTCCCCGCCGCCCGCCTTCAGATCAGGTCCGGGGACAGCAGGAAGATGCGCTGCGTCTCCCCACTGTCCCCGGAGCTTGCGGGGGTGGCGGCGGGGTCTCCCCGCTGTCAGCCTCCAAACCCTTCGTGAGACAGCGGGATGGCGGCGTTCTGCCTCCCTCTGTCCCCCGACCTTGTGGGGCTGGCGCTGGGGCTCTCCTGAAGCCTGGAGAGTGAGAGGGGTCGGTGCGCACCGACCCCTCTCGCTCTCCAGGCTTCAGCGAAAGCCTGCATTCGCCCCATAGGACGCACACACATTTCCCCTTCATTTTTGGAGGGGAAAAAGTGTGTCCTATAGGGCGAAAAATACGGTAATACCGTATTGGCCCGGATATAAGCAGCACCCACAAATAAGCTGCACCTTTAAAATTCGGGGGGGGGGGGAGAAAAAAAAGACAATACAGTGGTACCTCGGGTTAATAACTTAATTTGTTCTGGAGGTCCGTTCTTAACCTGAAGCTATTCTTAACCTGAGGTACCACTTTAGCTAATGGGGCCTGCCGCTGCCGCCGTGCCGCTGCCACACGATTTCTGTTCTCATCCTGAAGCAGAAAGGCAGCGTGGCATGTCAGATTAAGACCTTGGAGAGACCGGGTTCAAATCCCCCAACTCAGCCATGAAGCTCCCTGGGTGATGTCGGGCCAGAGTCACTTCTCTCTCAGCCTAACCTACTTCACAGGGCTGTTGTGAGAGAAAAACAGGGAGGGGGAGAATCATGTAGGCCGCCTTGAGCTCACTGGAGGAAAAAAGTGGGACAGAAATATAATCAATCAATAGTCCTGCTCAGAGTGGATCTGTTGAAAACAATACAGCAGCTGGGAAACCCAGCCAGATGGACGGTGTATAAATATATTATTATTATTATTATTATTATTATTAGTCTCAGGGTTCCTGTTTTGACTCACTGCCTAGCCTTGGTCACATCACCTGCCTCTTCCTAGATGGCCACCTGTCATGAATTCTTTAGTAGAGATTCCTGCATTGCAGGGGTTTGGACTAGATCGCCCTTGGTGTCCTCTTGATTCTACAATTCCCTGCTCTTTGTCCTACCCCAGGGCTGCTGTGCAGCCAGATACAAGACCAGCCGGGCAGTGTCCTATCCCCCCATTGAGAAAGTGCAGTTAAGGGGCCCAGTTAACTGGAGTTAAGATTATCATGTCTCAAGAGCGGGGCCTTTTCTGCAGCGGCTCCATGGCGATGAAACGCACTCTGCTAAGAAACAGGCCTCTGATCTCCCCAGATCTCCTGCTGCAGGCAGTGAAAATGTGTGTTTAGGGACAAGGACAAGCAGACAACTTTGCCTAGCTTACAATACACTGTGTAACACAATTGTAATTTAATTTGCTTTGTATTTGTGTGTGTGTGTGTGTGTGTTTTAAAGGTGGCTTAGAAATATTGCAAACAAGTAAAGGAGTACATTTTAAAATTAGCCAAACAGCCTTGCAATGAGCTAGCGGGTCTGGGAGCCCATCTCAGTGCCAGATGCAGCAGAATCGGCCCTCTTTCTTCTTCCCCCGGGAAGTCAGAGCAGCAAACACCTTGAATTCTGCAGAGGCTGGAAGCCAAGGGGCCAGTCACTACCCTGGCAGTAATTCCTGCATTGCAGCGGGTTGGACTAGATGACCCTTGGGTCCCTCTTCTAAATCTGTGATTCTGCGATTCCCTGCTCTTTGCTCTTTTTGCTGTATAACTCTGCCCTGCCTCAGGGCTGCTGTGCAGCCAGACACAAGACCAGCCTGGCGGTGTCCTATCTCCCCATTCAAAAAGTGCAGTTAAGGGCCCCAGTTAACTGCCTCGGATGAAAGGTAGCAGCCAAGCAGAGCTGCCTCTCGCCCCCGTTCCGTTTCCCTGCAGGGAAAGCGCCTGATGCAGACACGGCTCTCGCTGCAGAGGCACCTGGAGCCCCGAAAACGTTGCTGTCGCACACCCTTCCGTCGCTTGGCCTGCCTCGCAGCTGGGCCTGGGAGCTGCCGCTGGCCAGTGCTCCTGGCAGGCAGCCTGTGTGAAATCTGGGGGTGGCGAGGCTGATATCCAGGGCCTTTTTGTCTCTCTTTCCCTCCCCTTCACGGACTTCCACCTCATCTCCCCATCTTGGAAGGAGGGGTCTGCTGAGGCCTTGCATGCCTGTGGGGGGGGCAGGGAGGCATGTCTCATGAAAGCTATCGCCTGGGTGGGGTGGCATATTTGGTGCCTTTCATTTGACACACACACACACACACACATTCTCTGGCAAGAGTTCCCTTGCGCTACAGTTAGGGCTTTGAAATCCTTCGCACTCGCATCTCCGGCAGCTTCCATTTTGCAGGAAGTCGGCGACATGTTCTTTCCGCGGTTCCGGCAACTAGGCCCTCACTTGTCTTCATTGCCCCTTGCTTGCTTCCATTACCCCACTGCCTTCCTCTGATGCAGAGCAGGGAACAATGTGGCCCTTCAGATGTTCTTGGACTCGAATTGTCTCTTACTGTTGGCCATGTTGGCTAATGGGAGCTGGCGTCCCGACAGTGCCAGAGGTTCCCCCTCTGTGAACTACTTCTTCTTCTTCTTCTTCTTCTTCTTCTTCTTCTTCTCCTCTTCCTCCTCCTCCTCCTCCTTCTCCTTCTTCTTCAGCGATCCCTCGTAGCCAAGTAAGATTGTCTTCCATAAACACGGTTTTAACAGTGAGTCCATAAGTGACTGTGGAGGCCAGTTCTGGATCCACACGTCCTTCCACAGTGGGGACATTGGTTTCCGGGCGGAAGTTGATCACAATGAGGGTTTGCCAAGCGTGCCTTCCTCTTAGCACGTTTCTCCCTTGCATCCTGAGCATAGCTGTCAACCTCCCCTTTTTTTTGGCGGGAAATTCCCTTATTCCAGCACTGTTTCCCGCTGCTTCCCGCTGCTATCCTGGATTATTAGATATCCCATAGACTGTCCCCAGGACAGGTGAGGCTGCTGATCCCTTATTTTCAAGGCTGCTGATCCCTTATTTTCAAATCTGAAAGTTGACAGCTATGGTCCTGAGTTCGAGTGTCTTCAAAGCCCATGACACCTTTGGTAAAGGCTGTTCTCCAATTGGAGCGCTCGCAGGCCAGTGTTTCCCAGTTGTTGGCATTTATACTACATTTTTAAAGATTTGCCTTGAGAGAATCTCTGTGAATCTCATTTGCCTTCACTGCCCCTCTCTACCTCCATCATTGGGCTTCACTGTCTCCGATGCTGCCTTGCAGTAAGGAAACTTTCGACACACACGAGAATTCTCATTAGTATCTGTCGTCGTGAGTGTTTAGGTAAGAGAAGGCTATCTTCTGTATTAAGTCACTAACGGGACCAACAATCTCCTAACTGTCTCCTTTCCATCATCTCTCCCCTCTAGTCTATTTCCGGGCCCTGGTGAATTTCACAAAGTCCATCGACTACAGCTCCCGCCTGGATGATGTCAACTCAGAGGAGTTCCAGGATGTCTCCAAAGCGGTGGTGGACACGGTAAGGCCTGATTCTGTCCCATTTCCACAAAGGAGCTGTCCCAAGGGGACAGAGATCATGACCCTTTCGACAGTCTTATCCTCCTCTAATTTTATACCCCTGTGCGTTTGGATCAAAATAAGCACCTACTCCCATAAGATTCCCTTGAACTCAATGTTTTAACATCTGCTAGGGTATACCTGATCCATGTTCCACCCTCCCTGGAGTTAAGATGTTAATGTATCAGGAGCAGGGCCTTTTCTGCAGTGGCTCCATGGTGATGAAACACACACGCCTCTGATCTCCCCAGATCTCCTGTTGCAGGCAGTGAAAATGTGTGTTTGGGGGCAAGCAGACAGCTTTGCATAGCTTTCAGTGCATCGTTTAACACAGGCTTCCTCAACCTCGTCCCTCCAGATGTTTTGAGACTACAATTCCCATCATCCCACTGGTCCTGCTAGCTAGGGATCTTGGCAGTTGTAGGCTTAAAACAGCGGTTCTTAACTTGTGGGTCCCCAGATGCTGTTGGACTACAACTCCCATCATCCCTGAGCTCTGGCCTTGCTAGCTAGGGGCGATGGGAGTTGTAGTTCAACAACATCTGGGGACTCACAGGTTGAGAAAGGCTGGCTTAAAACATCTGGAGGGCCGAGGTTGAGGAAGCCTGGTTTAACACAATTGTAATTTAATTTGCTTTGCATTTTGTGTGTGTGTGTTTTAAAGGTGGCTTAGAAATATTGCAGCTAAGTAAATGAGTACATTTTAAAATTAGCCAAAGAGCCTTGCGAGGAGCTAGCAGGTCTGGGGGCCCCTCTCAGTACCAGATGCAGCAGAACTGGCCCTCTTCCTTATCCCCCGAAAGGTCAGAGCAGCAAACACCTTGAATGGTTCTACCCTGGCAGGGATTCCTGCATTTCAGGGGATTGGACTCAGCGACCATTTGGGCCCCTTCCAACTCTGCAATTCTACAAGGCTGATGCAATTTTCTCTCTGCAGCTGGAGTCTGAATACTACAAGATCCCCGGAGAGCAGGTGGTTAGCGTGGTCTTCATCAAGTGAGTCCAGGGGCTGGTTTCCATGTCCAGGGTGCCACGGAGGCAGGATTTAACCCCCGCCTGTGCTGTTTACTTTTAAGGAGCTTGCATTGCAGGCAGAAGCTCTGAACCGGGTGATGTGAGATTGTGGGAGCAAGCAGAGTGTAGGAGAAAGACCAAGAAGCCCCACCAAGAATGGCCCCAATCCTTAGAAAAAGGATGGGGGACACCTGGGCTGGTGCAGAACTACAACTCCCATCTCTACAATGGGCAATGCTAGTGGCCAGGGCTGGCTGGAGCTGGAGTCTAGCAACACTAGACTGTCACTTGCCTTCACTGCCCCTAGCTGCCTCCATCACAATCTTGCTTTGTTTTAGAAGAGGGAAAGGGAATGTGTGGCCCTCAAGACATTGCTGGGCTCCAGATGACATTGGATTCGAACTCACATCCTTCCTGACCGCTGACCATGCTGGCTAGTGGTTGCTGAAGTGCCAAAAACAACAACAACAATTTATTATTTGTACCCCGCCCATCTGGCTGGGCTTCCCCAGCCACTCTGGGCGGCTTCCAACAAAGATTAAAAATACACTAAAATGGCACACATTAAAAACTTCCCTGAACAGGGCTGCCTTCAGATGTCTTTTAGAGAGAAGATAGCTGCTTATTTCCTTCACATTTACCGAAAAGGCCCTCTACCTGGTTCCCTGTAGCTTTGCTTCTCGCAGTGAGGGAACCGCCAGAAGACCCTCAGAGCTGGACCTCAGTGTCCGGGCAGAACGATGGGGGTAGAGACGCTTCTTCAGGTATTCTGGACCGAGGCCATTTAGGGCTTTAGCACCAACACTTTGAATTGTGCTCGGAAACTGGGAGCCAATGTAGGTCTCTCAGGACCTGTGCTATATGGTCTCGGCAGCTGCCCCCGTCACCAGTGTAGCTGCCGCATTCTGGATTAGTTGTAGTTTCCGGGTCACCTTCAAAGGTAGCCCCACGCAGAGTGCATTGCAGTAATCCAAGCGGACAACATTTGAAGGCTACAGGTTTCCCATCACTGAAGTAGACCATAACTTGCATTCAGTGCCTCTGGCTACCTCCAATCAACCTCCTTTCAATGCAGGGACAGGGACCCTGTACCTGTCCTTGGACTCAGCCTCCCACCCACAGCCCTGACCACTAGGCATGCTGGCCGGGGCTGGTGAAAGACAAAGGTTTTCCAGCATCTGAAGGATCACCCCTTTCCCAGCCTTGCTTTAGAGAAGACCTTGTTCCAATGTTGACGAGATGACGAGATCCAGAAATTTATTTCCCCTCCCCTGTTTGTTTCTTTTAATCAACAGCTGCAAATTGAGATATTTTAGGAGATGCAAAGAGGTTGAGGGAAGTTCTTTCACATGTGGTGGACTTGTAAAAGGGTAAAAGAGTATTGGGAAATGATCCGTAATGAATTGGGAAAAAATGTTTTAAAAGTACTTTTCAAAAAAAAACAAACAGAGTCCATTTTCTTGGGGATACATTCAGACTGAAATTCCCAGGTGTCAAAAAAGGTTATTTATGTATGCCACTACTGCAGCCCATGTTTTGTTAGCCCAAAAATGGAAAACGAGTGAGGTCCCAGCCGAAGAAGAATGGCAACTTAAGCTGCCGTAATATGTGCAGCTTGCAGACTTAACATATAGAATAAGAGAACAAGAAGAACATATGTTTAGATAAGATTGGAAAACGTGTATTGAATATATGGGAAATAATTCTGTACAGCTGAAAACGTTGGCAGCATTAAGATTAATTCAGTGTAAATAAGTTTTGATGGATGTAATAATGGTTTAGTTTTTGTAAAACATGCAGGGATTTATGATATGCAAAATGAACCATGGAAAGAGAAGAAGGGAAGCCATTAATATTTTAAGGATGCTTAAATGAGTATTCTAAATTGTAAAACAGAAAATTTAATGAAAAATTATACAAAAAAGAGAGAGAGATATTTTAGGACAGTGGTTCCCAAACTTGGGTCTCCAGCTGGCTTTGGACTACAACTCCCATCATCCCTAAATCAGTCCCCAAAGCAGCTCGAGAGCCACGTTTGGGAAACCCTGTTTTAGGATCTGAACAGCACAATCCCTGGAAAGGAAGAGTTAGGTGGGAGGTGGGAATTGGACCCTGTCTCCAGACTCAGGTTTTACCCCCTTCAGCACATGATGGGTCCATGAATTGTGCCCACGCACCTTCTTTTCCCCCCAGAGAGATTGACGGCTACATCTTTGTGGAGCTGGACGTGGGCTCCGAGAGGAACGTGGACGAGGACCAGATCCGCCAGGTGCTTTTCTCGGTCATTGAGAGCGGCTCCATCGCCTCCTACGTCACCTCCACGTGGGGATTCCAGTTCCGCCGCTTGGGAGCAGGTGAACCAGACTGGAACCTATATGTGGGTTAGGATGGGGTGGAGTTTATTGTGGAAATGGGCGCCCCCCGTCCCATTCACCATTACCTGTCCATTTGCTTTCAGCCCAAACCCCGCCTCCCCCCATTACAATGGAGTCCCCAGGTGAGTGTGGCGTCAGAGGGGTGCAATGGGACCTGGAGGCTTCTGTCCCAGGGGCAGAATAGGGTCGGGGAGCCCCTTTCTCGCCAGGCACCTCCCCTCTCAGTTCGAGGGAAGGTGGGTCAACCCGGGGCCCCCAGATGTTGTTGGACTACGATTCCCAACATCCTCAGCCAGTGTAGGCGATTGTCAGGCTTGGTGGCTGTCCAAGAACAAATGGGGACCCCTAGTTGAAGTGCACTGGTCCGTGTGGTTGGGGGAGAAATTCACATTCGGTTCACTTTAGAAGGGAGATCCCTTCAAATTCACACTTCGTGAAACACAAACTGAAACATAGTCATCCTTGCAAGCTGGCACTTGTGCAAATTTCAGGACACCGTTTTCCAAACAAGCGATGTGTGCAAAAAAGTATATATTGTGCGGGGGGCGGGGGCGTGAAATATGAGCGAAATAACATGCCCCAAATGCATTATACTAGAGAAAATCCCTTGCAGAACAGTGTCAGAAACACTATTCAAAAATGAGTTTGCTGAGAGAAGTTTGCACTAAAGTGATGATCGGTTTTCACGAGTGTTGTTTCTCCCTTGCTGCCAGCCAAAATTGCAAATTGCTGTGGAAATGCGGAGAAACTGATTAAAAAAATAATAATCTTCAATTAAAGAGAACCATAAAGCAAATATAAAACAGATCAGAAACAAAAGCAGCTATCGTAGCAACAGTCAAAATACAAAAAAGCAGGAGATCTAAAACCAGTTCAAATCCTGAAACTGAATTTAAGATAGGAAAGGAGAGAAACTGGGTTGAAATGGATGAATTTACCCATCCCTAATGATCAGCCCCCTCCCAGGAACCGTTACCCCCCCCCTTTGGCTCCTCCTCAGCACCTCCTTGGAATCCTGTATGGAAGAAAACATCCGAGATTGTTCTTGCAGCTGCAGGGCTCACATTTCACCATCTGTGAGGTCTGGCCAGAGTGATCTTTGCAGATTGTAAGAGGGAGGTTTCGGAGCAACCCTATGCTCTCCACACAGAGAGAGCACACACTTCTCTTGCTCAGCTATATAGCAGGAGAGGCCGCCTCCGTAGCGACACATTTCCACCATGGCTGTGCTAGCGGTGCATCTGAGTGCCGGTCGCTCAAAAGTGCCAGAGGGAGGAGCTGCTACTGCACTCTCAAGTCCTGTTTTGCGGTTTCCCATAATCTCATCCCACTTTTAATTTGCACACCGCCTTTCTATATTAACATTCGCAAGGCGGTTTGCAAGCTTGAGGAATCAGCAAGGATTGCACACCTTCTGACAACCTGCTCCAATACCAAAAACATGTCATAATAAAAATAGAACAACAATCCATTAAAATATACAGTGGTACCTTGGTTCTTGAACCAAGTTTCTTGACCCGTTTTGGAACGCGAATGCCAAAAACCCGCAAATAAATGCTTCCGTTTTCGAATGCACCTCAGAAATCAAACAGCTTCTGCTGCATGTTGTTCCATTTTCTCAATTGAATTTGCAGATAGCCCTGTTTGCGCCTCGGTTTTCGAACGTTTCGAAACTTGGAACGGTTTTCCGGAACAGATTACGTTTGAGAACCGAGGTACCACTGTAACAGCGCACTGTAAAATTAAATTTCAGCACATAATAATGAAGCAGAAATTTGTTCTTCGCAATTGCAATAGATAATTTCTAAACTATAATCAACAAAAAATAACGGCAAGTCACAGGGCATAAAATAGCACAATACAAATTGAGAAACAAAGACACACAAAATTATTTTTCAGAAATCTATACCTGAACTCCTTTTCCCCCCAGGTGCTTCTGCTGTTCCTAAAGTCATGGTCTGGGAAATCCTCCCAGGACTGGAGGAGGTGGGTCGAGGCAGGTGGCACAAGCCATTGCCTGGTGGCCAGCACAAAGTCTCTCTCACCTGGCATCTGTTTGGCCACTTTGGGGACAGGATGCAGGACTTGATGGGCAGAACCTCATTCAGCACACTCGTCTTATACGCTTGTTGTTGTTTAGTCGTTTAGTTGTGTCCGACTCTTCGTGACCCTATGGACCAGAGCACACCAGGCACTCCTGTCTTCCACTGCCTCGCGCAGTTTGGTCAAACTCATGCTGGTAGCTTTGAGAACACTGTCCAACCATCTCGTCCTCTGTCATCCCCTTCTCCTTGTGCCCTCCATCTTTCACCAACATCAGGGTCTTTTCCAGGGAGTCTTCTCTTCTCATGAGGTGACCAAAGTATTGGAGCCTCAGCTTCAGGATCTGTCCTTCCAGTGAGCACTCAGGGCTGATTTCCTTCAGAATGGAGAGGTTTGATCTTCTTGCAGTCCATGGGACTCTCAAGAGTCTCCTCCAGCACCAGAATTCAAAAGCATCAATTCTTTGGCAATCAGCCTTCCTTATGGTCCAGCTCTCACTTCCATACATCACTACTGGGAAAACCATAGCTTTAACTATACGCTTAGGTTCAGCTAAACAACCTCCCTATTGCGTCTCCTGAACACACTGCCACTAAAGTTGCAACGGGCAGCCCTGGATCTCTAGTGGGAGAAAAACATCTCTGAGCTGTGCATGGATCGGCAGAGCTACCTGCCTGTCCCACAGCCCTTTTCGAGGGGTGGGGGTGGCCTCCAGGTCCCTTTGCGCTCGCCTGCCTGTGTTGTGCCGTGTGTTTCTCTGTCAGTGTGAGTGACACCCCTGGCCCCTCCCTCGGGATCTGTGAATCATGCCCGAAGGAACACAAGCCTCTCCCTCCAGCTGGGCTGTGGCACGCAAGGGCAGGGACTGGCATGTTGCTTCCTGATACCCGCCCCGCCGGGCAGAGTGCAGTGCCTGGTTTACAGCAGTGTGGCGTGGTTGGGAAAGGGCCGCAACTCAGCGGGCAGAGCCCCTGCTTGGCATGCAGAAGGTCCCAGTTCCAGTCTCCAGGAATGTATCTCAGTAGGCTGGGGAAAATTTCTCTGCCTGAAACTCTGCTGAGCCATTGCTGCCAATTATTATTATTATTATTATTATTATTATTATTATTATTATTATTATTTTATTTATATCCCACCCATCTGGCCACTCTGGGCGGCTCCCAACAGGATATTAAAAACATGATAAAACATCAAACATTAAAAACTTCCCTAAACAGGGCTGCTTTCAGATGTCTTCTAAAAGTCAGGTAGTTGTTTATTTCCTTGACATCTGACAGGAGGGCATTCCACAGAGAGGGCGCCACCACCGAGAAGGCCCTCTGCCTGGTTCCCTGTAGCCTCACTTCTCGCAAGGAGGGAACCGCCAGAAGGCCCTTGGCGCTGGATCTCCGTGTCTGGGCTAAACGATGGGGGTGGAGACGCTCCTTCAGGTATACTGAACCAAGGCTGTTTAGGGCTTTCAAGGTCAGCACCGACACTTTGAATTGTACTCCGAAATGTACTGGGAGCCAATGTAGGTCTTTCAGGACCGGTGTGATGTGGTTTTGGCGACCACTCCCAGTCACCAGTCTAACTGCCGCATTCTTGATTAGTTGTAGTTTCTGGGTACCCTTCAAAGGTAGCCCCACGTAGAGTGCATTGCAGTAGTCCAAGTGGGAGATGATCAGAGCATGCACGACTCTGCAAGACAGTCTGCGGCAGATTGAGCTGGTAGACAGCTGCTCTGGACACAGAGGACCATAAGAGAGCCGCTCCTCTGGCTTCCTGGGCTCCGTCTGGATTTGGGGACTGCAAGGCAAGGTCCTTGCCTGCACCAGGCAGGTCCAGGAACATTGGGAGCCGCGTTGTGCTGAGTCAGACTACCGGTCCATCTAGCTCAGTGCTGCCTACACTGGCTGGCAGCAGTGGCCCTCCAGGGTTTCAGACAGGGGAAAGTTCCCACTTCTGTCTGGAGGTGCTGCCCTTAGGGATTGAACAATGCGTGCCAAGCCGGTGCTCTGCCACTGAACCACGCTCCTTCCCATCACGATAAAACAAGTTTCTAGACCTCATGGTTCTGAATAGTAAAGGACTAATCTGAACAAGGCATGCTCCCTTATATCAATTCAGAGCACTGAGTGCACCTTGCTCTGTATTTTTCTACTCTGTGACTGGCAACAATATCTCTGTTGGGGACTGAGCCTGCAGCCTTCTCCATGCTGAGCCCCACCGCTGAGTCTGGGGGAACTTCAGAGTGCTCCACTGCCTCCTTCCTTGGCCTCCTGTGCTGGGACGATGGAGAGTCTGTTTGTATTGATGCCGATCTGTGAAGGAACTATCCAAAAAGCAGGAAGGAAGCTTGGAAGTCTGGGGTGTTTGTGTGGCTGGCTCTTGGTTTGCTTGGCCTGTGCTAGTAGCCCCCTAACTGTGTGCTGTGGGTTTTGGTGTGTGCCAAAGGTGGGGTTCTGCTTTCTGGGTGGGTGGGGGTGGAACACAGCTTGGAAGGGGGCAGGTTTGCTTGCCTGGGGGGTGCTGGGGTTCATTCCCAGCATGATGAATTGCCCCCCCCCCTAAGGCTGGGTGAAGCCTTTCCCGGGAATAGTAGTCTAGCCCCCTGCAATGGAGGAGTCACAGCTAATAGAATCACAGAATTGCAAGGGACCCCGCAGGGTCATCCAGCCCAACCCGCTACAATTCAGGAATTACAGGGGGCAATGCAGTTAATTCTAAAGCCAAGCTAGACTCTGTTAGGTTATTTAGGGTATCCTCAGAGACCATGGGAAGGTTCAAATTCATCAGCGCGAACCCTCACTCAACTGCTGTGGGGATAAAGGAGGCAGCCAGGAGGGATAGGATGGGATGAGGGGGTAGAATTCAGCTATTGCAGAATTCAGCGGTCAGGTTGCTCACCGGAGCAAAACGGTTTGAGCACATTACACCGATCCTGGTCGGAGTGCACTTGCTACCGATTAGTTTCTGGGCCCAACTCAAAGTGCTGGTTTTGACTTATAAAGCCTTAAATGGCTCAGGACTGCAATACCTCAAGAACCGCCTCTTTCCATATGAACCTACCCAGACCCTGAGATCATTTTCTGAGGCCCTCCTTCATGTACCTCCTTGAGAGGTTCGGAGGGTGGCAACACGAGAACGGGGCCTTCTCTGCAGTGGCTCCCCGTCTGTGGAATGCCCTCCCCAGGGAAGTTCGCCTGGCGACTTCATTACACACCTTTAGGCGCCAGGCAAAAATGTTCCTTTTTAACCAGGCCCTTGGTTGATCTGTTTCACATCCTATACCCTTTTAAAATGTGGCTCTTTTCTGGGAGGTGTGTGTGTTACTAGGTTGTTGTTTTCATTCTGATTATATATGTTGTGATTTTTTTCTGTGAGCCGCCCTCAGACCTCAGTATAGGGCGGTATATAAACTCAATAAATAATAATAATAATAGAGAGAAAAGGAGTCACTCTTGTCACCATGGTCAGCCCTTAAAGTGAGTGAGAGAAGGGAAGATTGAGCCCGTAGCCGCAAGAGACCCGTGGAAGGGGGCGGGTGACGACATACTAGTGTAATTTAAAGCGTGGCAAATTTGCACTGTGAGCTGGATTGAGGTTTTGGTGGAGTCGCTCCTTTCCTCGAAAGGAGGGCTCCAGAGTGCAGCCAGCTTCTCCCCACTACACCCCCAACCTCTCTCTGCAAGAGTGGCCCTGATGCCCCCTATTTGCTTTCAGTGACACCCGTGGTTCGCGCTTGCACAGCCGATGAGTTCAGGTGCAGGAGTGGTGAGTGCATCTCCAAAGAGTTCCTCTGTGACAGCCGATCGGACTGCCGGGACATGTCGGACGAGCTGGACTGTGGTGAGCATGACTGTGGGCTGGGAGTGATGGTGCGACGGCGCAACAACACTTTCCCCCCTTGGGCCCGCCCTCACCTAAATATAGTGCACCCACCTCACAGAACAACAGTTCCACGAATTCCTACAAACTATCCCAGATTAGGGACACGGGTGGCGCTGTGGGTTAAACCACAGAGACTAGGACTTGCCGATCAGAAGGTCGGCGGTTCAAATCCCCACAACGGGGTGAGCTCCCATTGCTCGGTCTCTGCTCCTGCCAACCTAGCAGTTCGAAAGCGCGTCAAAGTGCAAGTAGATAAATAGGTACCACTCCGGTGGGAAGGTAAACGGTGTTTCCGTACGCTGCTCTGGTTCGCCAGAAGCGGCTTAGTCATGCTGGCCACATGACCCGGAAGCTGTATGCCAACTCCCTCGGCCAATAAAGCGAGATGAGCGCCACAACCCCAGAGTCGGCCACGACTGGACCTAATGGCCAGGGGTCCCTTTACCTTTACCTATCCTTTACCTTTACAGGGGTCCCTTTACCTTTACAGGGGTCCCTTTACCTTTACCTTTACCTATCCAGATTATCTTGTGGCTGACTTGTGTGAGGAAAAACTTAATAATTTGGAGTCTCAGGCAGGATTTGATCAAACAAACAAGCGATTTTATTTAACAAAATAAGTTTATGACACAAAGTGGGTAAAACATAGGCTACTTCAGGTTATAATGCTCTTTCTCAGCTGTTGCACAGCTGTTGCCGCTTAATACTTTGGTTCTTAAAGAAGGTGTTTTCTGTCAGTTACACACCCTTTTAACAACCCTACTCCAATCGCCTTCTCAATCCGGCCTGCGGACGGTCCGGGAATCAGTCGAATGTGTGCTTTTATTTAAAATGCATCTCTGGGTTATTTGTGGGGCATAGGACTTCGTTCATTATTTTTTTCCAAAACATAGTCTGGCCCCCTGCAAGCTCTGAGGGACAGTGGACCGGCCCCCTGCTGAAAAAGTTTGCTGACCCTTGCTCAAAATCCTCTCCTTTTCAAGTCCCCCTCCTGGAACCCTGGCCAATCAGAGGCTGCCATTCGTTAACTGTTTGCTGGCAGGGAAAAAGAAAAAGAAAACACTTGGGGACCCAACCTGCCCAGCAAAACAAACTTTTCCGTCATAGATGGCAGTGGGCGGCGGGGGGGGGGCAGAGAATTCACGGCCGGCATCCCTTTCACCCCCACGAGTCCGTAATGCCAGCATTGCTTGGGTTTGGACTAGATGACTCTTGGTATCCCTTCCAACTCTACAGCTCCCGAGTGCGGCAGCGATGAGTTCGGCTGCGACAATGGCGAATGTGTCCTCCTGGAGGATCGCTGCGATGGCCACGCCGACTGTGATGACGCCTCGGACGAGGACGGCTGCGGTGAGGAACGAGGCAGGGGGCGGCCTAGGCAGAAGCTGTTGCTGCCCCCTGCCCCATTTGGGAAAAAGAAAAGCTTTTAGCACTTCTTCTTTTATTCTTAATATTTTTTATTCAATTTCACACTGTGCATTTGTATTCAATCATTAATCACAATCATCAACATTTAGGATTCCCTGAATCCTTTGATTCACCCCTCTATGGTTTCCATTATCAAACTTTTTCTACTGCATTACATATATTTTCTCTTTTTTTCTTAAAATAATCACTTTTTTCCTTAATTTTTGAAACATTACAAGCATTGCTCAGATCCTGCCAAAGTTTTTAGTTGTTTACAGTGTTCTTTTAGGTAAATTGTAAATGTTTTCCATTCCTTATTAAAGTTTCTATCTTCCAGGTTTCTGATGTTTAAATGAGTATTTTAAATTGTAAAACAGAAAATTTAATAAACATTTTACACACACACACACACACACACACACACACACAGAGTGTCAAACCTCGGTTCCCGAATGCCTCCATTATGTTTTGTTTCCCAAACGCCCCAAACCCAGAAGTAAATGTTCCGGTTTTCGAACGATTTTCAGAAGCTGAATGTGCTACTGTTTTGAGTTTCCCTATCGTGTTGAGGTTTCCGCTTTCAGTTTTCAGTTGTCGAACGTTTTGGAAGTCGAACGGTCTTCTGAAATGGATTACGTTTGACAACCGAGGTTTGACTGTATATAAAATAAAGATGAGGAGAATTTGAATTCTCCTTATCCTTTTGACTTCCCGGCATCCCCCTCTCTATCAAGCCACAGTGAGGATCAAGCGATTCATCCTAGTCTCCCTTGCGTCGTCCGGGAGAGGCAAGTTCTGAGTTCGAGACCAGAACTCTGGAAGTCTCGGGACGAGGCACTGACTTCCTCCTTTCTCCCCTCTCTGCAGGCATTACCACCCCTCGGCCGCCTGTCACCTCCGCCCGGCCCGGCACCACTCGGGTGCCCGCTACCACAGCCTCAGTGACCACCCGCCGAGCCCCAGTCACCGCTCCGCCTGGGGTCTTCCCCGCCAAGCCCTCCCTGCCCCCCTTCCCGCGACCTTGCCGGAAGGACGAGGCCGTCTGCTCCAACAAGCAGTGCATCCCCCGGGACTACCTCTGCGATGGGGAGAGGGATTGCAGCGACGGAAGCGACGAGAGCAGATGCGGTGAGCGCCCGTTGGCGAGTTGCTTGAGGAGCCGGACCACGGATCCACCTAGCTCTGTGTGGGCTGCACTGACTGGCAGCAGCTTTCCAGAGTTTTGGCAGGGGGACATTCCCAGCCCTACCTGGAGAATGGAAGCTGGGGCCTTCTGCATGCAAGGCAGATGTCCCACCATGGGGCTTGAAAGCAAATTTTCTAGTCTTTGTGGTGTTGAAAAATGCACTGATTGATATAAGGAGCAGTCTTGTACAGAGTCAGACCATTTCGCTCTGACTACATGGACTGGCGGGACGCGGGTGGCGCTGTGGGTTCCATCCCTCCGAGGTTAGATTTATATTTATAATCTTGCAATTTGGCTGGTCTATTTACTTAACCGACCTGGAACAATCTACCAGAGAAAAGGCCGCCGCCCATGGGACAGAGGGTCATTGATGAATGATAATCCAGCTTCTACCTAGGGTTTTAATAGGTCATAAGATTTTATGGTATTTATATTTGTAATGTATTTTTGTCGGTGTTTCTCCTTTGGTGCTATGGCCTGTCGGCTACGCAAATAAAGTCTATTATCTATTATCCACAGAGCCTAGGGCTTGCCGATCAGAAGGTCGGCAGTTCGAATCCCCGCGACGGGGTGAGCTCCCATTGCTTGGTCCCTGCTCCTGCCAATCTAGCAGTTCAAAAGCACGTCAAAGTGCAAGTAGATAAATAGGTACCGCTCCGGCGGGAAGGTAAACGGCGTTTTCGTGCGCTGCTCTGGTTCGCCAGAAGCAGCTTAGTCATGCTGGCCACATGACCCGGAAGCTGTATGCCAACTCCCTCAGCCAGTAAAGCGAGATGAGCGCCGCAACCCCAGAGTCGGTCATGACTGGACCTAATGGTCAGGGGTACCTTTACCTTTACCTTTTTACGCGGACTGGCAGCAGTGGCCCATCAGGCAGGGGATATTCCCCACCTGGAGAAGCTGCCAGGGATTGAACCTGGGGCCTTCTGCATGCCAAGCAGATGTTCTGCTGCTGAGCTACAGCTTGCCAGGGCCACAGAGTAATCTAGCATCAGCTTCTGTTTTGTGGGGCTAAGTAGGGCCTTGATCGATCATTGAGTCCTAGAATTGTGATCATAAACTATTTGCTACAATTTTAGCTAACAGATTAAAAAAGATGGTAACTACATCAGTCCACAGAGACCAAGCCAGGTTCTTACTAGGCCGACAAATGAAGGACAATGTAAGGTATCTAATTAACTTAATAGAGTGTTTGGAAGTGAGAAATGAAAAACAGGCCACATTAATATTTTTAGATGTGGAGAAAGCTTTTGATAATATTTCTTGGCCATTTTTGATTAAGGTATTAGAGAAAATGGAAATAGGGAAATCTTTCCTGGCTGGAATTAAAGTGATCTATACTGATCAATCCACAAATATTTTAATAAATAATATTCTTTCAGACAAATGCCAGATAGAAAAAGGAGCAAGACCAGCTGGTCCCCTCTCTCCATTGCTGTGTATTATGACATTAGAAATGATAAGTTGAAAAATACGTTAGAAAAAATGTCTGGTGTGAAAATATGTTAAAAAAAGTTAGATATTTGGGAATCTGGCTAAGATATTTGGGAATCTGGTTGAGAGAAATCTCAACTTATTTTAACATTGAGTCCTGGATCTTTAGAGTTAGAATCAACCCCTGGGGGGTAATATTGCCCGTCCCTCTGCTGCTCAGAGAACCCCTGACAGATGGGGAGGGTTTTGTGGGTCATGGCGGGTACCAACTTCTGAATTCTCTCTCTGTCTCCCGGACAGGCACCCCCAGCCCCTGCGAACCCAACGAGTTCAAGTGCCGGAACGGTCACTGCGCCCTCAAGCTCTGGCGATGCGACGGGGACAACGACTGCACAGACGGCTCGGACGAGCTGAATTGCCGTAAGCGTTTTGGGAGCGCCAGGGGTTTGTCGATTTGCATCCGGGTTTCGTGTTCCAGGGCTTAACACAAGCACCACAGCTGAGGCCCTTTGGAATGAACCCAGTGAAGTTCCCCCTGGAGCAGGCCCCTTGGAATTACAGTGGTACCCTGAGTTACAAACGCCTCAGGTTACAAACGCTTCAGGTTACAAACTCCGCTAACCTGGAAGAGTTACCTCGAGTTGAGAACTTTGCCCCAGGATGAGAACGGAAGTTGTGTGCCGGCGGCGCAGCGGCAGAAAGAGGCCCCATTAGCGAAAGCACGCCTCTAGTTAAGAACAGTTTCAGGTTAAGAATGGACCTCCAAAACGAATTAAGTTTGTAACTAGAGGTACCACCATAATGGGGCCGAAGTTAGTCATGCCCAGTGAACATCAGTGGATCTACATCGGTGCGTAGTGGCACCCACCCTGTGGAACACCCTCCCACCAGATGTCAAAGAGGACAAACAACTACCAGACTTTTAGAAGACATCTGAAGGCAGCCCTGTTTAGGGAAGCTTTTAATGTTTAACAGACCACTGTATTTTAATATTTTGTTGGAAGCCGCCCAGAGTAGCTGGGGAAACCCAGCCACATGGGCAGGGTTGGGTCATTATTATTCTTCTTCTTCTTATTATTATTATTATTACTACTACTACTACTACTCTGAGTAGGACCAGCAGCAGAGGGGGCCCATTGGAATTAATGGGGTGAAGTTAGGCGCTTCTGGTAACTTCAACGGGTATGTCCTCAGTATTCATAGAATCATAGAATTAAAGGGTTGGGAGGGACTCCCAGTGGTCATTTAGCCCAACCCGCTGCAATGCAAGAATCACTGGCAGGTGGCCATTTGGGCTAGCATTGGATACAACCATTTCTTTCTTGTGTTTATTTGTTTATGTATTATCAACTTTATTGAAAATTCTTAAAACAGTTGCCAAGCATATACATGAAGCTTTGTAGGCAGTCATCCACATGGCATCAAAACTTTAAACTACAGGTGCCATTCCAGTCCTTCTAACAATTGTAACTGTTTACAGTAGTCTTTAAGATAAGTTATAAATTCTCCCTATTACTTATTAAATTTTTGGCCTTCCTGCTTTCTGATTCTTCTGATCATCTTTCCCTTTTCGGCTAATCCATCAAGTTGATCTGCCATTCTTCTCTGGTTGGGACTTTATATTCTTTGCATCTCTGGGCCAATAACATCCGAGCAGCCATGGTCACGTACATAAATAGTCTTTTCTGCTCCATTGGGAAACGTTTCAGTAGGTGCCGAGAAGTGTACAGTGGTACCTTGGTTCTCAAACTTAATCCGTTCCGGAAGTCCTTTCCAAAATCAAAGCATTCCAAAACCAAGGCGTGCTTTCCTATAGAAAGTAATGCAAAAACAGATTAATGCGTTCCAGACTTGTAAAAACAACCCCAGAAACAGCCATTTAACATGAATTTTACTATCTAACGAGACCATTGATCCATAAAATGAAAGCAATAAACAATGAACTGCAGTCACACAATAAATCAATCAGTAGCTGAACTGGGTTCCACACAGTCAAAAAAACAAAACAAAAAGAGCCACAAAAACGCAAAATAAATAGCAAAAGCAGACAGACCTCCGCGTAACACTCAAATTGGAAGTGTGGCACTCAGAACGGAGCACGTTTGGCTTCTGAAGAAAGTTTGCAAACTGGAACACTTACTTCCGGGTTTGCAGTGTTTGGGTTCCAAGTTGTTTGAAGACCAAGGCGTTTGAGAACCAAGGTACCACTGTACAATGAAGGCACCTGCCTGATGGTCAAGAGGCGGGGAGTTCCGCAGTGTAGGTGCTGCCACACTAAAGCAATATCAAGCTGGTGAGCCCGTTTCTTCACCCCAGGCTGCTCCGCTAATGCTCTTGTCCTCTCTGCAGCTACCAAGGGCCCCGGGGACACCTGCGCTCCAGACCAGTTCGTCTGCGTGTCCACACGCACCTGCATCCCGGCCAGCTACCAGTGTGACGACGAGACGGATTGCGCAGATCGCTCTGACGAGATTGGCTGCAGTGAGTTCGGGGTGGGGGTGGGGGTGGAGAGCAAGATGGAGTGGGAAGAGTTAAGCCCCCTCCCCAAAAGTGGACTTTGAATATGATTTGTGTCCTGAGGCACATGAACCACAAAGTTCCCAGGAAAACAATAAATCACCCTGACACAGAATATTTGGTTTATGGGTTCAAATAGGCCACACTTTTATTGATTACAGATGTGAGTGGTTTGTCTTAGGCATTGAGGTGAAGCCAGGCTGTATCTTGACTCCTCCTACCTGCCTGCAGGGAGTCCATGGAAGGGTAAACAACCAATGGGGGTGCCCTATGTTGTTGTTGTTTAGCCGTTTAGTCGTGTCCCCCTGGACCAGAGCACGCCAGGCACTCCTGTCTTCCACTGCCTCCCGCAGTTTGGTCAAACTCATGCTGGTAGCTTCGAGAACACTGTCCAGCCATCTCGTCCTCTGTCCTCCCCTTCTCCTTGTGCCCTCCATCTTTCCCAACATCAGGGTCTTTTCCAGGGAGTCTTCTCTTGTCCTGAGGTGGCCAAAGTATTGGAGCCTCAGCTTCAGGATATGTCCTTCCAGTGTGCACTCAGGGCTGATTTCCTTCAGAATGGATAGGTTTGATCTTCTTGCAGTCCATGGGACTCTCAAGAGTCTCCTCCAGCACCAGAATTCAAAAGCATCCATTCTTCGGCGATCAGCCTTCTTGATGGTCCAGCTCTCACTTCCATACATCACTACTGGGAAAACCATGGCTTTTACTATACGGACCTATATTGATATATCACAGTGTCTGAAATAAGGATGGAACTCCATAGAGGTGGACTCCAAAGTGGATCACAGACGAATTGCAAAATTGCAGCTCAGTACAGCAGTCAAATACTAGAATCCTTTCAGAGCTTAATGCTATAATCCCAGCCAATATTTTATCGCGTTTATATCCCCCTCCAAGGAGCTCAAGGTGGTGTTGGTGTGCATGATTCTCATTTAATCCACACTACAACCCTGTGGGGTAAGATAGACTTAAGAGGCAGTGACTGTCCCCCTAGGGCAGCCCAGTGAGCTTTGTGGTCAAGTGGGGATTCGAACCCTGGTCTCCCAGGCCCTAGTCCGTCATGCTGACCATTAGGCCACTGCTGGGTAGGCATTTCCATTTGCGGATTTCATGGTTGAGGTGGAAGGAGAGCACGAGAGAGATGCTCCCCCCTTTCTTTTGCAATTCCTGCCTTGCACGAAGCTGGACTAGGTGATGCTTTGGTCCTCTTCTAACTCTATGATCCTTCTCCCTGTCTAGCCCCTCCCCAGGTGATCACGCCCCCCGAGGAATCCATCCAGGCCGCCCCCGGAGAGACAGTCCGCTTCACCTGTGTGGCCGTGGGCGTCCCCACCCCCATCATCACCTGGAGGCTAAACTGGGGCCACATCCCCAGCAGCCGCAGGTAAGCCGCGGGTGGTCTGGTCTCCACCCCCCCACCCCACTTTTTCTTCCACCACCTGGGCTTTGGGATGCTGACTCTGCCCCTTACGGCCACAGGGTGTCCATCACGAGCAAGAACGGGCGGGGGACACTGGTTATCGAAGACGTAAAAGAGGCCGACCAGGGAGCTTACACCTGCGAGGCCATCAACGCCCGGGGGATGGTTTTTGGCATCCCTGATGGAGTGTTGAGCCTCACACCTGGACGAGGTAAGCCAGAGGGGCGGGAAAGGCGGGGTGGGGACCGTTTGGGCAGGTGCTGATCTATCCATCTAATTAGCATATCTGTTGAAGCATTTCTTTAAACAGCGCATAGTTCTTTTTGTGTGTGTGTGTTTTTAAAAATATTTATTTGGTTTTTCAGATTAAAATTTTATAATCAAACAACATAAAAACAAGATTCCAAGGAATCTCCTGGATTTCCCTCCTCCCCTTTGTGGGTCCTGTTATTAATCATTTCCTCCTGCATCTTTTATGATCATCCAAATCTTTTACATCTCCATTGTGTCCAAAATTCACCATTAAACTACAAGTGTTGTTCCAATCCTACTAACGATTTTAGCTGTTTAGAATGGTTTTTAAGATAGATTATAAAATTTCCCGTTCCTTATTACAATTTTGGTCTTCCTGATTTCTTCCTCCGGTTATTTTGGCTATTTCGGCATAATCCATCAACTTAATCTGCCATTCTTCTCTGGTTGGGACTTATACACAGTGCGTAGTTAACCTGTGGCTTTAAAAGAGGACTGGAGAAATTCACGGAGGAGAGGGCTCTGCTCTGCTTACAGAGTTGGGCGCAGCACTACTTCTGAATCTCAGGTGCCGGAAACCGCAGGCACTCTCGCACTCGGGTCCTGTGTGAACAGGAGACTGGGTCATTGGCCTGATCCAGCAAACTCTTAATGCTCTTGTGAAAGGCTTACACTCTCAGAAGCTCTTGACATAGATGCTGCTGGCTGCCAGAACCTCAGTCATGAGACTCTTAATCTCAGGGTTGTGGGTTTGAGCCCTGCAAATGTTTCCTGCATTGCAGCGGATTAGATAAGATTACCTTTGTACCCCTTCCAAGACTATGAAATCCCATAAAATTCTATAGCAGTGGAAATGATAATTTAATGATCGGCTCTTTAAACACTCCTTTTACTGGTTATTGGCTATAGCTTTTGATAGAATATAGGTAATTGAACAGCCCTTGTTGCATTACATTCTTCATTAAATTATCTTTCCATTGATATATAATTTTATGGTATTACTCCAAAAGAAAGTGGTGTTATGAGCCATCAAACCACGAAAATACACTTTCCCCAAAAGGTTTCCACAATTTTGGCCACTAGTGTACATTCAACAAACACAGACACACAGGACTCCCTCTTGACAGGACACTTTCCTACTGGCCTTTAGTATCGTCCCAACCAAATTTTATGTCTCTCCTGTATATACTGTGCTGCTGTATTAATTTGTTTGATTTACATCACTGAAATCTTTTTTTAAAAAACCTGCTGGCATGTCCATCCATCACCCTGGATCCCTGACAGTCTCCTCTTTCGCCCCCCACCCCAGGACCTTGCCCAGAAGGACACTTCCACAACGAGGAAACCTCCCAGTGTTTCCCCTGCTTTTGTTTTGGCATCACCAAATCTTGCCGTGGCACTAGCCGGCACCGCAGCCAGATCCGCCTTCGCTTCGACACACCCGACAACTTCAAAGGTAAGTGGGTTGGGGGTGTTATAAGAAAAAACTTCTCCTTTTCCTTTTGGGGTATCCAAGACCCCAGATAGAGTCCTTAAGTGGGTTCCCTATCGGTAGGAGAAAATAACAGAGGCCAACCAGAGAATATTGAGAAGCAAAGCAGCTAGTAAGCCTGATCTTTATCCGACTGTTGCAACAGGGTCCTCACTCACCACATACAGGAGGGAGGAGGAACCCAGAACAATGGTGTGCAAGCCCTTATATAGACTTTTGAAATTGCCCACCCTGTAGCACAAGACCACCCCCCAAAGCATCATACATACATCACAGAAGGGGGTGGTCTACATCAGAAATACATCACAAGAGGCTGTCTCCAGCAGAAATCCTCAGGATACCTGATAATGGTCACTGATTGCTTTACCTGAGCAGCCTGGCCTTTTGTTTGTGATGCTAAATACTTTTAATTCCTGAATCCAGTTCACAGGCTCACCCTATTCTTACACAAATATGTCCTTAAGACAGGTAAGCAAAAGACAATGGAGAGGCTTTCCCATTTCCTTCCTCCTTGCAGAGAAATATTTGAGGTCAGTTTCAGAGACTCAAAGTGACTTCAGGATTGCTCCTGTACTATTTCAGACATGTAGTTTATATATTTATGTATGTGTTTGCCTTGTACATTTATGAATGTTTATTGTATATTTGGGACCTTAAAGTAAAGTTAAAGGGACCCCTGACCATTAGGTCCAGTCGCGGACGACTCTGGGGTTGCGGCGCTCATCTCGCTTTATTGGCCGAGGGAGCTGGCGTACAGCTTCTGGGTCATGTGGCCAGCATGACTAAGCCGCCTCTGGCGAACCAGAGCAGCGCACGGAAATGCCGTTTACCTTCCTGCTGGAGCAGTACCTATTTATCTACTTGCACTTTGACGTGCTTTCGAACTGCTAGGTTGGCAGAAGCGGGGACTGAGCAACGGAGCTCACCCCATCGTGGGGGATTCAAACCGCCGACCTTCTGATCGGCAAGCCCTAGGCTCTGTGGTTTAACCCACAGCGCCACCTGCGTCCCACTTGGGACCTTAGAATTCTTATAACAGGGGAAGGGGGGAGGAGGGCTTTGGGTTTTGAGGTGGTCTTCCACTAACTTTTCCTCAGAGAATATCCGGTGGCATTAATAGGCCTCTGAAGAACCCTGCTGGATCGGGCCCCAGGGGGCCCAATCTTGCCCAGTATCCTGGCCTCACATAGGCCAACCAGGTGCCCTGCGACATCCCCCTGCCATTGTTGTAAACAAAATCAATCTGCCTTTTTCCCTTATGGGGTATCCAAGAGCCCATATAGAGTCCTTACGTAGGTTCCCTATTTGTAGGAGAAAATAACAGAGGCCAAGCAGAGAATATTGAGAAGCAAAGCAGCTAGTAAGCCTGATGTTTATTGATCTGTTGCAACAGGGTCCTCCCCTCACACAGAAGGGGTGTAGCTCAAGACCACCACCCTAGATACATCATACCTACATCACAGAAAGGACGGTCTACAGCAGAAATCTGAGTGCTTTGTTTACCTCCTGTCTGCCAGGTTACCTGTTTAATGGTCACTTGATTGGATTGCCTGGGAAGCCTGGCCAGTCTTTTGTAATGATAAATACTTAGTTCCTGAGCCAGGTCACAGACTCACGCCCTATTCATATCTTAAATGTGCCATTAAGACAGGATTTGTGAAGGAAAATGCAATGGGGAAGCTTTTCCATTTTCCTTTGACCTTGCAGAGAAAACGTTTGGTCAGTTTGGGAATCAAAATGGTTTCAGGTCGGTCTTCCTGTGCTGATCTGTTATGAACATTTATGAACATTTAATATATATCTAAGACCTTAAAATTCTTATCACACCATTCCCGTGTCACTTTCCCCAGGGGTGAATGTGACGACCCCCTCTCAGCCCGGAACGCCGCCCCTCTCCTCGACCCAGCTGCAGATTGACCCCGGGTTGCAGGAGTTCCAGCTGGTCGATCTCTCCCGCCGTTTCCTGGTACACGACTCTTTCTGGATGCTCCCGGGGCAGTTCTTGGGGAACAAGGTGAGAGGAGCGAGTTTGAGTCCTCATGGCGCTGAATGATAGGCCAGTTTTAAGAACAGGATTAGCTGCCTTTTCTTTCCTTTTTTTCTATTTGTTTTTTTGTTGCTGTTTTATTTTGACAAAGTAATAATCATACATAAATAAGAATAAAAATATGCACCTCACCCCCAAGACCATTCCATTGTAACTATCTAACCATGTAACTAAGCCAAACCACAGGGTGGGGGAGAGGGGCTCAGAGCTTATGTCTTATTCCTTTTTCCAGGATTCTGTCCTTTTTTCATATTTATTAATGTAATATGATTAATGATTAAAGTAATAATCATAAACAAACAAACAAACAAATAAATAAGAAAGAATAAAAATGTGTGCCCCACCACTGAGACCATTCCATTGTAACTATCCAACCTCCCAAAATTTTAACACCTCTTGCGATGGTTTGACCCCCTTCCATTTTAACAGTACAGTGGTACCTCGGGTTACATACGCTTCAGGTTACATACGCTTCAGGTTACAGACTCCACTAACCCAGAAATAGTACCTCGGGTTAAGAACTTTGCTTCAGGATGAGAACAGAAATCACGCGGCAGCAGCGGGAGGCTCCATTAGCTAAAGTGGTGCTTCAGGTTAAGAACAGTTTCAGGTTAAGAACGGATCTCCGGAACGAATTAAGTACTTAACCCGAGGTACCACTGTACAGCTATACATATAATATCTATATGTTATTAATAATGAATTTGTGAATGTTTATTCAAAACCTGCCAAGGAGTCCAGTTCATTTTGTTGTTTCTTTAAATACTTTGTAAAAGGTTCCCACTCTTCTTTAAAGTCACAGTTGTCCTTACCACATAGTTTATATGTCAATTTCGCCAATTCCGCATAGTCCATCAGTTTCTCTTGCCATAGTTCTTTAGTCGGAGTTTCTTCATTCTTCCAACCTTGTGCTATTAAGACTCTTGCCGCTGTTGTCGCATTCATGAAGATATTCTTAAATTTCCTTGGCAGGTCTTTCCTTAAAATCCCTAAGAAAAATGCTTCAGGTTTTTTAACAAATGTTAATTGGAACATTTTCGTCAGATAAGTTTTTGTATCCATTCTTCCTTTGCTGGGACTTCTATTCTTTCCCATTTTGGCGCAAATAACATTCTTGCTGCTGTGTAAGCATACATGAATCAAGTTCTATATGATTTAGGTAGTTCTGTCCCTATAATTATGGCTCCCTCCTTTCAGGGTTTAACTTTCTCTCCCTCCACAACCCTGCAGTCGTCCAAGGAAGGTTCCCAGCTCACATTTCTGCTGAATGGGCACATGGATTAATGGGGGTGGGTTGGAGGGCCAGGGTCTACGTTTGGGTTGCCCCCTCCTGACCTCCCTCCCTCTCTGCTCTGCCTGCAGGTGGACTCCTATGGAGGTTTCCTGCGCTTCAAGGTGCGCTACGGCCTGGCCAGGGGCCAATCGGAGCCTGTGCAGAAACCCAACGTCATGATTGTGGGGAATGGACAGAAGCTGATCTACCGCGTGCAGGTGCCCACCCAGCCCTCGGTGGTGAACCAGCGCCAGGTCCAGTTCACCGAGGTGAGTGTGGCTGGAACGGGGAGCGCTTGTTCCATCCTGCTGAGGCTGAACGCTCCTCTCAACACCCCTGCAAAGTAGGCTGGGTTGGGAGGGGGGAGAGAGAGTGGGCTCTGCCCAGCACAAAATTCTTGCCTGAGCAAGGATTTGAATCCAGATCTCTCCCTGCCCCTCAGAGGCAAATACTCATAACTGCCACATCACATTGAACTGTAAGGTGACTCAAGGTTTTGTTGTTGTTTTAGTGTTTATAATATTAACTTGTAAGATATGGATTTTTGTTGTTGTTTTTTTTAGTTTTCAAATGTTGATTTTTGTGTGTTGTGTATTGTTATTTTTTGATATCTTTCGTGTTGTTGTTGTGTGGAAAATACTAATAAAATTCATTTTTAAAAAAAGAAAAAAAAGAATGGCCAGGCTGCCCATAATGCTATCAGCAACCATTATTAGGTATCCTGGCAGACAGGATTTCTGCTGTAGACCACCTCCTATGATGTATGTATGATGATTCTGGGGCAGTCTTTGGCAAAGGGGATAAAAAAAAAGAAAGGTGACTCAAACAAGTGAGCCAAGCTGGGTTGGGTGGGTAGAAGCAACATTACCCTTATTTATTTTATACTTTGATTGGTTTTTTTCTTTCATATAGACATTTTTTTAATTGATTTTCACAGGTTTTGCAAGTTTGCTTCTGTTTCAACATATGGTTTTCTTTCAATTTTGAGTTCCCACCTTTAATTCCATGACGTTTTCATTCCCACCTTATACCTACCGTGTTGGATGGTGGTACTTCATTCCGCTGCTCGTAATTCATAATTCAGTTTTTATTTGACCATAGCCGTTCTTCAGATACAGTAGACCCTCAGGTTACGTTACTCTTGAGTAACGTAAACTTCGGGTTGCAAAAGCAGCAAACCCAGAAGTATCCAGAAGTGGTACCTCTGGATGTGGATTTTTCAGGGTGCACACAGACCGCCGGAACGAATTAAATTCGTATCCAGATGGTCCACTGTAGTCCAAAAAGGGTCTCTCCCCTCTTGTTTTCCATATAGATTTTTATGATTGAAGTGGTATGTGTTGGGTTTTTTTAGTAGACCATTTCTTTAAAACATTGACAGTCACAAGATTTATGGCCTTCTTTGCTAGCTCTCTCGGGGCAACCCACGCAATTAGGGGATTTTTCCTGCAGCTTTCGCTTAGCCCTTTCTTCACCCGCTGGGTGTCCCCCTGCAGGAGCACTGGGAGAAGGAGTCGGGAGCCTCCGTCAGCCGTGAGGAACTGCTGCTCACCCTCCAGAACCTGGAGGCGGTTATGATCCAGACCGTCTATGACAACCGGATGGCCAGTGTGGGGCTGAGCGACATCGTCATGGACACAACCACCACGGAGGTCACCGGCTTGGGCCTGGCGCATGGTGTGGAGGAATGCAGGTGTGCCAGCGATGGGGGCACCTGCTGACATCCAGGGTGGTTCTGGGCAGGAAAGGGAGTGGGGCTCGAGCCAGCCTGCTGCGACCCTGCACCTGTGGGTTGCTTCCAAATTAGTCCTGCTCAGAGGAGGCTAATAATAATAATAATAATAATAATAATAATAATAATAATAATAATTTATTTATATCCCGCCCATCTGGCTGGGTTTCCCCAGCCACTCTGGGTGGCTCCCAACAGAATACTGTGGTACCTCGGGTTACAGACGCTTCAGGTTACAGACGCTTCAGATTACAGACTCCGCTAACCCAGAAATAGTACCTCGGGTTAAGAACTTTGCTTCAGGATGAGAAGAGAAATCGTAGTGCGGTGGCAGCGGGAGGCCCCATTAGCTAAAGTGGTGCTTCAGGTTAAGAACAGTTTCAGGTTAAGAATGGACCTCTGGAATGAATTAAGTTCTTAACCAGAGGTACCACTGTATTAGGTAAAGGGACCCCTGATCATTAGGTCCAGTCGTGGACAACTCTGAGGTTGCGGTGCTCATCTCGCTTTACTGGCCAAGGGAGCCGGTGTACAGCTTCAGGGTCACGTGGCCAGCATGACTAAGCCGCTTCTAGCGAACCAGAGCAGGGCACGGAAACGCTGTTTACCTACCCGCCGGAGCGGTACCTATTTATCTACTTGCACTGCATTCTTTCAAACTGCTAGGTTGGCAGGAGCAGGGACCGAGCAACGGGAGCTCACCCCGTGGCGGGGTTTCAAACCGCTGACCTTCTGATCGGCAAGGCCTAGGCTCTGTGGTTTAACCCACAGCACCACCTGCGTCCCCAATTAAAAGCACAATAAAATATCAAACATTAAAAACGTCCCTAAGCAGGGCTGCCTTCAGATGTCTTCTAAAAGTCTGGTAGTTGTTTATTTCCTTGACATCTGATGGGAGGGCGTTCCCCAGGGCGGGTGCCACTACCGAGAAGGCCATCTGCCTGGTTCCCTGTAACCTCACTTCTCACATTGAGGGAACCACCAAAAGACCCTCAGAGCTGGACCTCAGTGTCCGGGCAGAACGATGGGGGTGGAGACGCTCCTTCAGGTATACTGGGCCGAGGCCATTTAGGGCTTTAAAGCTGAGCACCACACCTTGAATTGTGTCTGGGAACGTGCTGGGAGCCAATGTAGGTCTTTCAGGACCAGTGTTATGTGGTCTCAGCGGCTGTTCCCAGTCACCAGTCTTGCTGCCACATTCTGGATTAGTTGTAGTTTCCAGGTCACCTTCAAAGGTAAAGGTAAAGGGACCCCTAACCATTAGGTCCAGTCGTGGCCGACTCTGGGGTTGCGGCGCTCATCTCGCTTTATTGGCCGAGGGAGCCTGTGTACAGCTTCTGGGTCATGTGGCCAGCAGGACTAAGCCTCTTCTGGTGAACCAGAGCAGCGCACAGAAACGCTGTTTACTTTCCCGCTGGAGCGGTACCTGTTTATCTGCTTGCAATTTGATGTGCTTTTGAACTGCTAGGTTGGCAGGAGCAGGGACCGAGCAACGGGAGCTCACCCCGTCACGGGGATTCGAACCACTGACCTTCTGATCAGCAAGTCCTAGGCTCTGTGGTTTAACCCACAGCACCACCCGTGTCCCATACCTTCAAAGGTAGCCCCACTGAAATTAACCTGCTGACATTAGTATCTGAGTTGCAAGTCGCATCCTTTCTCCATCCATAGCTCTGTATTGTCCACACTGATTGGCAGCAGCTGCTCTGCAGGGTTTCCGGCGAGGGTCTCCTCCTAGCCCTCACTGGAGATGCTGCCGTTGGGAACCTGGGGCCTTCTGCATGCCAAGCAGCTGCTCTACCACTGAGCCATGCTTCTTCAGCACATGCGACCTGCAGGCTGAGTTTGTCGCCTCTGCGGCCTGCCTTACAGAGAGTCTGCAGTGTCCTTCCTGGCAGCCCATAAACCATCCTCTCTCTGCCGCTGTCTTCACCTCCCGCTTGTCTCTCTGCAGGTGCCCTGCTGGGTACGCCGGCCTCTCCTGCGAGCGCTGCGAGGCCCATTTCAAGCGAGTGCCCGGCGGGCCCTACCTGGGCACGTGCTCTGGCTGCAACTGCAACGGGCACTCCAGCACCTGTGACCCGTTCTCTGGCTACTGCCTGGTAAGCTTGCCAGCGGGTGGCGGGGGTGGTGACGGCCGCTGGAGGAGGGGCGCGAAGTGGGTTGGCTGGCGGGGGGAGGGATTTGGGGAAAGCTACGCCCTGCCCTTCACCTCCCTCTTCCTTTTGTCTCTTCCGCTTCTCCCCCTGCCCCACAGAACTGCCAGCACCACACCGAAGGGCCCCAGTGCAACAAATGTAAGCCGGGTTTCTTTGGAGACGCCACCAAGGGCACCCCCACCGCCTGTCGCCCCTGCCCCTGCCCGTACACCGAAGCCCCCCGCAGGTGAGTGAGCCGAGGGTCCTTGCATCGCGGGTTATCGTCGTCGGGGTTTGTCCTGGAGGACGTCAGCAGCCGCCTGCCCTCTGCGCTCTCGGCAGGCTTGGCAGGAGAGGAGATTAGGAAAGGACCGAGATGCACAGCTTCCGGGGTGGGTGTGCCTGCAATTTTCCTGTTGCCCTGAAAGCAAACCTTGAGCCTGCAGGGAAGGACAGGGAGTCCGGTGAGTCCATATCCATGAATTTACCTCTGGGAACACCTTGCCTTGTACAGGGGTACCTTGGTTCTCAAACTTAATCCATTCCGGAAGTCCGTTCCAAAACCAAGGCATGCTTTTTCATAGAAAGTAATGCAAAATGGAATAATAATAATAATAATAATAATAATAATAATAATAATAATAATAATAATAATTTATTATTTGTACCCCACCCATCTGGCTGGGCTTCCTCAGTCACTCTGGGTGGCTTCCAACAAAGATTAAAATACATTAAAATGTCACACATTAAAAACTTCCTGTTCCAGGCTTTTAAAAACAACCCCTAAAACAGCAATTTAACATGAATTTTACTTTCTAACCATTGATCCATAAAATAAAAGCAATAATCAATGTAAAGGTAAAGGTAAAGGTACCCCTGCCCGTATGGGCCAGTCTTGCCAGACTCTAGGGTTGTGCGCCCATCTCACTCTATAGGCCGGGGGCCAGCGCTGTCCGCAGACACTTCTGGGTCACGTGGCCAGCGTGACAAGCTGCATCTGGCGAGCCAGCGCAGCACACGGAAACGCCGTTTACCTTCCCGCCAGTAAGCGGTCCCTATTTATCTACTTGCACCCGGGGGTGCTTTCGAACTGCTAGGTTGGCAGGCGCTGGGACCGAGCAACAGGAGCGCACCCCGCCGCGGGGATTCAAACCGCCGACCATGCGATCGGCAAGCCCTAGGCGCTGAGGCTTTTACCCACAGCGCCACCCGCGTCCCAATAATCAATGTATTGTACTATAATGTATTGTCTTACTTATTTTATAGTACAATAATCAATGTATTGTACTATAAAATAAGTAAGACAATATTGTAAATTAAAATTATTATTTTTTCCTTACCTGCACTGATGATAGTCATTGTTTGGGTGGGGGGGCTGTTATCCATTTCCGCAGTCACACAATCAATCAATTAATCAGTCAGTTAGTTCAATAGCTGAACTGGGTTCTACACAATCACAAAAACAAATGAACTGAAAAAGCCTCAATAACAAAAACGCAAAATAAATAGCAAGAACAAAAGCGCCAAACTTAATCCGTTCCAGAAGTCGGTTTGACTTCCAAAATGTCCGAAAACCAAGGCGCATCTTTTGATTGGTGCAGGCGCCCCGGAAACAATAGCAGACAGCCGCATAAGATGTTCGGCTTCCGAGAAACATTTGAAAACCGGAACACTTACTTCCAGGTTTTTGGCGTTTAGGAACCAAGGTGTTTGAGTACCAAGGCGTTTGAGAACCAAGGTACCACTGTACGCCTTTTTCTGGGTAATTCAATCCTCCCGAAAGGAAAGAGCCCCCCTCCCTTTAGTTGTGCCATGCGCTTCCAGGTCCGTCTTGCATCCACAAAGACCAGGGCTTTTAGTGTCATGGCACTAGCCCATTGGAATGTGTTCCTGCTGAACCACCTGCAGCGCTGGCATTCAGGTGCCCTGCTTAAAACACAGCTGGCTTTTCCTGAAATTGAGCTGTGTGGATGTATCGGTCTGACCTACCCTCTTGTGATACATTTTGTGCTTCTTTTACGAACGTATTTTTTATCGTGGATTTTATGCTCTTTACCATCATGAGGTAGGTAAACAGGGTGAGTAGGTAAGTAGCTTAGGTAGGTTGGCAGGTTGATAGATAGATGATCAATTGATTAGGAAGGCAAATAAGAGTAGGTAGGTAGATTAGACAGGCAGGCAGATAGACATAGAGATACATAGATATATAATAGAAAATATATTTTAATGATGGTGGCATTGAACTTTGTGCAAATAAATAGATAAGCAAGGCAGCTATGAATGGGCCACTGACATGGGCCACTCAGTCCGCAACTGGGAAGCTGCCCTCGCCCACGATCCAGGCCGATATGGGCCCTGCCAGCCATGCACCCAGCAGCCTGCATTCGGGATGGTGGTGCCCATGGTGACACTGCCCTCTTCTCCTTTCAGGTTTTCAGAGTCCTGCTTCCTGGACACAGACGGGCAGGCCACCTGCGATGCCTGCGCCCCAGGCTACACCGGACGTCGCTGCGAAAAGTGAGTGGGCTCCTTGTTGTAGTTTCAAATTGCATGTTGGAGCTGCTGGGAGTTGGAGTCCAGTAGTTTCTTGAGAACCACAAGTTCTCCATCCCTGAACTGGACCGTCACTTGCCTTCACTGCCCCATCTGCCATCATCCCTGAATATAGGCCAGGCTGGCTAGTCTTGTTGGGAGCTGGGGTCTAGCAATTTCTGGAGAACCACAAGCTCTCCATCCCTGAACTGGACCGTCACTTGCCTTCACTGCCCCCATCTGCCATCATCCCTGAATATAGGCCAGGCTGGCTAGTCTTGTTGGGAGCTGGGGTCTAGCAATTTCTGGAGAACCACAAGCTCTTCATCCCTGAACTGGACCGTCACTTGCCTTCACTGCCCCTGGCTACCTCCATCACCACTTTGCCATTTTTAAACACAGGGATCAGTTGGGGAGTCTTAACAACATCTGGAGGGCTACAGGATCCCCATCTCTGAACTAGACCGTCACTTGCCTTCACTGCCCACTCCATTGCCAGTCTGCCACCTTTTAATGCTTGAATGAGAGAGATGTGGCCCTCCAGATGTTATGGGACTCCAACTCCCATCATCACCCCTCACCTTTGGCCATGTTGGCTGCTGTGGCTGATGGGAGTTGGGAGTCCCATAAGATCTGGAGGGACACAGATGTTCCCCATCCCTGAACTAGGCCATCACTTGCCTTTACTGCTCCTGACTACCTCCATCATAACTTTACCTTGTATTTAAAATACAGGACCTCACGTCTTCCATATGCTAGTAAGCTACAACTACTGCCGTCATCCCTGACCATTGGGCATGCTGTCTGTTGGGGCTGATGGGAGTTAGAGTCCAGCAACATTGGGGAGGGGGGCAGAGATGTTTCCTACCCTTGGCCACAAAGTGATTTCTGGGGGACGCCGACCCCCATCAGGAGGATAAACTTCCAACTTAACATATTTCCACCCCTAGATGTGCTCCTGGCTTCAAAGGAGACCCCATCCAGCCACGAGGAAAATGTGTGAGGATTGGTGAGTACAACCTTTGAACACACGCAATTCAGGTTTGACTCCAGAGTCACACTGTTAGAGCAAAAGCTGCGAAAACTCAGCATCGAATAACTGCCGGCTGTCTCTGGTACTAGATCTATTGAAATGAAGGGACATGGCTAACTTAGGCCCATTCATTTCGGTGGGTCTACTCTGAGTAGGACTCTGTTGAGAACAACCTGCTGAAACTTCCTTCTGAGTATGCCTGAATAGGATTGTGCCATGGAGCAGAGAGGGAGAAATTGGCTAATGGAGATTGCGGACTGCCCCCCCCCCCACCAAAGAGAAGAGCAATGTGCCTGTTGTTTTCCATTCGCAATCTGTCCTAGAATCATAGGAATTTTTGAGTTGGAAGGGATCCATGGGTCATCTAGTCCAACCCCCTGCAATGCAGGAATCTCAGCTCAAGCACCCATGTCCTGATGAAGTTTCTTCTGCTAATGAGGGCGCAGGCCGGTCAGGACGAGCTTTCAGGCCTTCTCAGGGGAACCTCGTCCAGAGTCAGACCCTTGCTCCATCTTGCTCAGTACTCCCAACTCTGACTGGCAGCAGCAGCAGCTCTCCAGGGTTTGAGGCAGGGAGTCTCTCTCAACCCTACCGGGAGATGAAACCTGGGACCTTCTGCATGCAAAGCAGATGCAATGCTGCCCAGCTGTGGTCTTTTTAAAAATTGAAAATAAAGCAAGTTTTTTTGAGAGATAAAATCGAGATATGGAAAATATCGATGAGAGATAAGAGGCAGGACTGAGGTTTGGATATGCTTCGAGGTTCAGACTGTGGGAAGCCTTAAAATCAAAATTACAATTTGGAAGACAATTTGATTTTTTTTAATTTTAGTTTTTTATTTTTATTGGATTATGATTTGATATGTTAGTTGGAAGTTTTTTATTGGAAAAATTAATAAATGCTCTAACAAAAAAGAAAGAAAAGAAAATTAAGCAAGTTTCTAGTCCTCATTGTTCCGAATCAAGGGCTGGTTTAAGGAGGAACATAGGAAGCAGCTTTATGCCCTTGGCTCCTGGTTTAAGAGCTGGCTTAACAATAGGCTTTATGTGCATTTATTTGTATTTTAATGAACTGTTTAATGAACTGAACAGAGTGAAAGGTTACGAGTCATGGGGGTGCAGAGATCGTTTGAATAAACTTAGTGCCTAGATTATATTTTCAGTTGCTATTTTGCTAATGCTTTTAATATCGTTTTGTAGATTCTAAATGCCGCATTGATTTGTTAATCACATGACTTGCCGTAATTGTGAGGTTTGGCTTATTTTTTTAGTTGCTGTTTTGTTCAGTTTCTTAAAGATTGAAACTGTTTCGCCGATAAATTGTGATTTATTTCATATGACGTGTGTTGCATTCGCGATGCGCTAGTATGTTTTGTTATGTTATGGTTATTTATTGGGTGTAAGCCTCTTTGAGATTCATTTGAATCAATCAATCAACCTTCAGCTAGGTTTGAGGCCAAACATGAATGTGGGAACCACATTGTCACGTTCAATCTAAGTTTAATAGCGCTACCATCTTGCCGCATCTCACAACTCTGAAGCGTTGGCCTGCTTCGCTCTCCCCACCTGGTACACATAAGCCAATATTTCACGTATTGCTGGCCAAATGTTTGAACGTTTCTTTCTCTATCTGATTTCCAGGGTTCCCCCCTAGTCCTGAAGTTGATACTCCACTAGAGGGCAAGTTGACATCGCTATTACATTTGCGTTTTCTTATCCTTCCCCCCTCCAATCCTCACTGTCTTTTTCTTTTAAAAAAAGAGTTTTTATATGATTTTACAGCTTCATTCACAATTGTAATCACAAATAATAAAAATTACACAAGATTCTTCTGAAACTCAAGACTTCTCCCCTCTGTGGGTTCTTTGAGTAACTTTTTAAAACTGCATATTATAAGTCCATCTAATTTACAATCCTCCATTGTATCCAAAATCTATGTAGCGTTGCAAGAGTTATTTAAAACCTGCCAAAGAGTTCAAGTGTTTACAGTGGTCTTTCAAATATAATATAAATTTGTCCCATTCTTTATTGAAGTTTTGACCTTCCTGGTTTCTGATTTTCCCAGTTAAACTTGCCACTTCTGCATAGTCCAATAATTTCATCAGCTAGTCCACCCTGATAGGAATTTTGTCGTCTTTCGAACCCTGGGCTAGAAGCATCCCTGCAGCTGTTGTAGCATACATCAACCATATTTTCAGTTCCTTTGGTAGCTCTGCACCTACAATTCCTAACAAAAAGGCTTCTGGTCTTTTAACAAATGTTATTTTAAACATTTTTTTCAATTCATTGTATATCGTTTCCTGGAATTCCTTTATTACTTTACAGTTCCACCACATACGATAAAAGGTGCCTCCCTTTTCCTTACATTTCCAACAAACATTTGAACTTGTCCTGTACATTTTTGTTAATTTACTCAGAGTTAAATACCAGCGATGCATCATTTCCATATAATTTTCTTTTAATGTATAACACGCCGTGAATTTCAAATCCTCTCTCCATAATTTCCCCCGTGCTGCAAACTGTACGTTTTACCCAAAGTCTCCTGCCCATTGAATCATAACCGATTTAACTTCTTCATCTTTAGTAAACCATTCCAACACTTTCTCATTTCCTATAACTGTCACCACCTCCTTTCTTTCACACGGAATTGCAGAGTTGGAAAGGGACCTTCAAGACTCATCTAGTCTGACCCGCTTCAAGGAGAGTCCAGCCCCTCTGTCACCCACCTGCTTGCTCCTTGCACCCTGTCTCTTTGCCTTCCTCCTTGCACTTCTTCAGCTCTTCCAGGTTCTCTTCTCAGACGTTTCTACCCCTTTCTCACCTTCTTTTGCTTCTTTTCGCCTGCTGGTTTTGCCATTCTACCCTGACCAGCTGAGCTTTCCGAGGTCTTTGCGCAGTCCTGCCTAGAGACACTCAGGATTGAACCTGCGGCCTTTTGCGTGCAAAGGTCTGCCCCACGAAAATTCTAGTCCTCCTGCTTCTGCGCGTCGGGATGATTTAAGTAGAAATACAAGGAAGCTCCTCTGGACTGACTTAGACCTTACGCTGGGTTTTAGCTAGGCCATGGTGGAAAAAAGACATTTTCCTGCCTGGGTTTGTCTTTCTCAACCTCTCTTTACTCCTTGTGTAGGGCAGAGCACCATCGAGTGCGACAAGAGAGGGAGCAGCGAAGCCTCAGATGGTGCTTGCCAATGCAAGGTAAGCTGGGCCACAGCTTGGAGGTGCAGCAGCCAAGACTCCCCTGGGTTAGGCGTGGCAAAATGAGACAAAACGGTGAAACTTGAAATCCCCTCATTCACCTTTTGCGAATGGGAAGGCCCCAGATCTGTGGAGTCTACGGTTGGGTTTTTGCCATGATAAATGAATTCATAAATTAAAATTCAAGAGGAGCTCTGATAATGATAATGATAATGATAATGATAATTTATTATTTGTACCCCGCCCATCTGGCTGGGTTTCCCCAGCCACTCTGGGCGGCTTCCACAAAGACCAAAAGTACACTAAGATGTCACACATTAAAAGCTTCCCTGAACAGGGCTGCCTTAAGATGTCTTCTGAATGTCAGGTAGTTGTTTATCTCTTTGACATCTGATGGGAGGGCGTTCCACAGGGCGGGTGCCACTACCGAGAAGGCCCTCTGCCTGGTTCCCTGTAGCTTTGCTTCTCGCAATGAGGGAACTGCCAGAAGGCCCTCGGCGCTGGACCTCAGAGTCCGGGCAGAACGATGGGGGTGGAGACGCTCCTTCAGGTCTACTGGGCCAAGGACATCTGCCCAGCCGCTGAGCTTCTGTTCTCAGCATGAGATTATTTCAGAAGTACAGTGGAACCTTGGTTCTCGACCTTAATCCGTTCTGGGAGTCCGTTCAGCTCCTGAAACTTTTTGAAAACCAAGGTGCGGCTTCCGATTGGCTGCAGGAGCTTCCTACACTCAATCGGAAGCTGCTTCGGACGTTTGGCTTCCGAAAAAGTTTGCAAACCGGGACACTTACTTCTGGGTTTGCGGCGTTCGGGAGCCGATTTGTTTGGGAGTCAAGCCATTCGGGAAGCAAGGCACAGCAGGAATCAAGGAGTAACACAAAGCTCCCAGACTCCTTTTTCCCCCCTGAGAAGAAGCATTGATGTCACCTGCCAGACTGCCTGGGTCATTGACAGTCTCCCTTTGCCTTGGTGGGCAAAGGAGGCGATGACAAGGCTTTTAAGTTGTACTCTTTTGTGACATATTAGCATGGCCTAGAATGTGACCCTCAGCTGAGCTGAACAGATTTATTATGCTATGGATTGCTGACATTTGGTGAGTCTATGAGATCCATCTCCTTTTCTCGTCCTTCTGCTGCAACGTCCTAGTAGCATTCCCAGCGCAAGGAAGGATTGGACTCTGATTAATAAAATACACACAAGGCTTGATCAGCAAGACTCTGGGAGGAGTGCGTATAATAATTCCTGTCCACCCCTTGGCCCAGGTCATTTTATTCACAAAAGAACTTTTCACACAGTGTTCATAAGAACCAATCAGATTTCCTCTGAGCATTTCAAAAAAACCCATGTGGGACAAAGTCAGATCAGAAGAAATCCTCTTAACTACAAAGAAACTATTTCCTACTTGAGCATGCATACGTAGTTCAGAGTAAATAAAATAGGAAACAAGGAGGAATGTTTTTAGGAAACCCCGGAGATCATAAACAGCAGTAAACAGGAGAGGAAGGACAGGTAGTATTTACCATCTCCTTGTCAACTCTCTTCCTGGCCCTAAGATTAACAAAACCAAGGAAAGGTACCTCAGCGAAGCTACCTACTGTCTTTATGACCCAGGATGCCTGGTGAACAACTGGCCTGTGTTTAGAATGCTGATAAGTGCCTGTCAGGCATAGAGAAAGAAAATGGACAGTAGAGAAAATGGGCAGAGATGCAGAGGCTTGTGGGATCAGAAATTATTGTCAATGAATCAAACCCAGTCAACGCAATACTTTCATCGCGGACACAGTGCCTTGCTCCATATTTCATAATTCCTCATAGTAATCCCACCTGATCACTACAGCCCTCTCCTCCTCCTCCTTCTCTTTCTCCCTAGCCCAACGTCATGGGACAGTCGTGCAACGAATGTGCTACGGGCTCGTTCCACCTGAGCCACGCAAACCCCGAAGGCTGCCTGCGCTGCTTCTGCATGGGGGTCTCGCGCCAGTGCTCCAGCTCCTCGTGGAACAGGGACCAGGTATTGCCCCCTGGGGCCGGGAAGGCGGGTCCTGCTATGTGCGAGGCTGGAAGCATCCTTCCCTATGCAAACTCGGTCCACAGACCCTGCTAGGAGGGTCCTTCTCCACCCCACCCCCACCCCTCCTATATACATACCCATTACAAAGTACCGTATTTTTCGTCCTATAAGACGCACCAGATCACAAGACGCACCTAGTTTTTGTAGGAGGAAAACAAGAAAAAAAATATTCTGAATCACAGAAGCAAGAACAGCAAAAGGGATCGCTGCGCAGCAAAAGCAGCAATCCCTCTTGCTGTTCTGGCTTCTGGGATAGCTGCGCAGCCTGCATTCGCTCCATAAGACGCATACACATTGCCCCTTACTTTTTAGGAGGGAATAATTGAGTCTTATAGAGCAAAAAATATGGTATGTATTTATAATATACAGTGGTACCTCAGGTTTTGAACAGGATCTGTTCCGGAGGCCCATTCGCAACATAAAAAGAGTGCAACCTGCAGCGGCATGTCTGTGCACGTGCGGGTTACGATTTGGCGCTTGTGCGCATGCGCGAAGCATGATTTGGCGCTGCTGTGCATGTGTGAGCCGCGAAACCCGGAAGTAACCCTTTCCGGTACTTCCGGGTCACCGCGGGACGTAACCTGAAAAAATGTAACATGAAGCAAATGTAGCATGAGGTATGACTGTACAGTCGTACCTCGGATCCCGAACGTCTCGTGAGTCGAACGTTTTGGCTCCCGAACGCCGCAAACCCGGAAGTGAGTGTTCTGGTTTGTGAACGTTCTTTGGAACCTGAACGTCCGGCACGGCTTCCCATTGGCTGCAGGAGGTATGACTGTATTAGCCTTTAAAATCTGTTGTCTCAATAGATGTCCCATCAATATATGCATCTGACAGCTTCTCTCCTTGCGCTCTAGGTGCGAGTGGGGTCTGAGGACGCTGAGAGGGCACAGTTCAGCCTCTCCAACTCGGCCGGCTCCCGGACGATCAGCGAGGGCATCCGCTTCACCGGCGCCTCGGAGCTCACTTTCTCCTCCTTCCACACTCTGCCGCGTGACATTTACTACTGGGTGCTGCCGGAGCGCTTCAGGGGAGACAAGGTGCCACTCTCAGGGGTGCTTCCGCCGTAATTCCTGATTCGCAGGGGGTTGGACTATAGAGGACCCTTGCGGGGAATCTCCCAAACCTGTGTGTGATTTCAGGACAAGGAAAGGTTTGATTTGAGGCTGAAGGAGGCAGTCGTAGGGCAGAAAACGGGTCATCCCAAGTCAGGCATTTGGTCTGCCTGGCACAGAACCGTCTACTGTGGCCTCAACCACTGAGCCTCTTGGGCTTTACGATCGGAAGGTCGGTGGTTCGAATCCCCATGACGGAGTGAGCTCCCATTGCTCTGTTCCAGCTCCTGCCAAGCTAGTAGTTCGAAAGCACACCATTGCAAGTAGATAGATAGCTACTGCTGTGGCGGGAAGGTAAACAGTGCTTCCATGCACTCTGGTTTCTGTCACGGTGTCCCATTGTGCCGGAAGCGGTTTAGTCCTGCTGGCTGCATGACCCAGAAAGCTGTCTGTGGACAAACGCAGCTGCCTTGGCCTGAAAGTGAGATGAGTGCCGTGTTATAAGAAAAAAACCTGCTCTTTTCCCCCTTATGGGGTACCCAAGAGCCCATATAGAGTCCTCTTTTTAGGTTCTCTATTGGTAGGAGAAAATAACAGAGGCCAACCAGAGAATATTGAGAAGCAAGGCAGCTAGTAAGCCTGATCTCTATTAAACATGTTGCAACAGGGTGCTCCCCCCACACGCGGGGGGAGAAGACCTCAAGCACAGGCGTGCAAGCCCTTATATAGACTTTTTAAATTGCCCACCTTCAAACTCCAGACCAACCCCAGAAACATCATACATACATCACAGAAGGGGTGGTCTAAAACAGAACCCTGAGTGTGTTGTTTATCTCCTGTCTGGAAAGTTAAAGGTAAAGGGACCCCTGACAGTTAAGTCTAGTCGCGGACGACTCTGGAGTTGCGGCGCTCATCTCGCTTTACTGGCCGAGGGAGCCGGTGTACAGCTTCTGGGTCATGTAGCAGCATGACTAAGCCGCTTCTGGCGAACCAGAGTAGCGCACAGAAACGCTGTTTACCTTCCCACCGGAGCGGTACTTATTTATCTACTTGCACTTTGAGGTGCTTTCGAACTGCTAGGTGGGCAGGAGCAGGGACCGAGCAACGGGAGAGCTCACGTCGCAGGGATTCGAACCACCGACCTTCTGATTGGCAAGCCCTAGGCTCAGTGGTTTCGATCACAGCGCCAGCCATTATTTGGGTTTTGGCCACTCTTTTGTTGTTATAACTACTTAATTCCTGAATCTAGGTCACATGTCACAGGCTCACACCCTGTTCATGTCTTGAATGTGCCCTTAAGACAGGATGTGTGAGCACAGGATTTGTGAGCAAAGAGACAATGGGGAGATTTCCCATTTTGACCTTGCAGAGAAACATTTGAGATCAATTTGTTCAGGACCTTTTCTGTGGGGTTTCAGACATGTGGTTTATATGTACAGTTATGAACATTTTTTAAAAAAATATATATGACCTTAACATTCTTATAACAGCCGCAACCCCATAGTTGCCTTTGACTGGACTCAACCGTTCAGGGGTCTTTTACATTTACCTTTACCCTGCCTGGCAGCAGCACTCCATGATCTTTCCCAGACCTGCCTGAAGATGTTGCCAGGCATTCACCTGGGACATTCTGCCCACAATGGAGATGCTCTACCAATAAGCTGTGGTCATTCTCCTAAAGTCCTATTTATTTCATAGTTTATGCCATTTGACTGTTAAAATGAAACATAGCCCAAACATCAAAGTGGTTTCTAGTCCTCATGATTCTGACTAAAGATTCTAATCCTTATTGGTCTGACTAAAGAGTTGATTTGAATGGAAACATGGGAAGTTGCTATTATTTACTATGATTTTAAAGTACATACAGATCCTGGTGTTTTTTTTTACTATGGTCTTCAGAGCGAACTGTTTGGAACATCTAGCTCAGGACTGTCGACTGGCAACAGCTCTCTGGGATTTTGGGGCTAGGGAGGCATTACCTGCTGCCAGAATTTGAACCCAGGACCTCCTGGAGCCGAAGCAGGTGCTCTACTCACTGAGCTATACAGCCTCTTCCCCAATGAATGGCCTGTGGTGGCCTGTCCTTCGCTGGAGGTTTTTAAGCAGAAATTGGTGTGCCATTTGTCAGCGATGCTTTAGCTGAGGGTTGGACTAGATGAGCCTTGGGGGTCCCCTTCCAAACTCTGTGGTTCTGCGGAATGGCTCTGACGCTGCCCCTCTGTGCCTCTCTCTCCAGGTGACCTCCTACGGCGGAGAACTGCGCTACACCATCACCCATGACACCTTCCCTGGCTCCCCGGCGCTGCGTGGCCAACCTGATGTTCTGCTGCAGGGGAACGAGATCTTCCTGGAGCATGTTGCTGAAACGAGTCCCCTGCCTGGCTCGCCCACTACGTTCACCGTGCCCTTCCGGGAGGTGAGGCATATAGCGCTTCGGGCTCCTTGTTCGGCGGGTGGACGTGCAGCCCTAGAAGGAGCCAGGCCTTTGGTCCATCTTGCTCAGTATTGCCTGCACTGACTGGCAGCAGCTCTCCAGGATTTCAGGCAGTGGGTGTCTGAGCTTTAAAGCCCTAAAGGGCCTCGGTCCAGTATACCTGAAGGAGCGTCTACACCCCCATCGTTCTGCCCGGACACTGAGGTCCAGCGCTGAGGGCCTTCTGGCGGTTCCCTTGCTGTGAGGAGCCAAGTTACAGGGAACCAGGCAGAGGGCCTTCTTGGTAGTGGCGCCTGCCCTGTGGAACGCCCTCCCACCAGATATCAAGGAAATAAGCAACTATCTGACTTTTAGAAGACATCTGAAGGCAGCCCTGTTTAGGGAAGTTTTTAATGTTTGATGTTTTATCGTGTTTTTAATACAGTGGTACCTCGGGTTACATACGTTTCAGGTTACATACTCTTCAGGTTACAGACTCCGCTAACCCAGAAATAGTACCTTGGGTTAAGAACTTTGCTTCAGGATAAGAACAGAAATCGTGCTCCGGCGGTGCAGCTGCAGCAGGAGGCCCCATTAGCTAAAGTGGTGCTTCAGGTTAAGAACAGTTTCAGGTTAAGAACGTACCTCCAGAACGAATTAAGTACGTAACCAGAGGTACCACTGTATTCTGTTGGGAGCCGCCCAGAGACCCAGCCACATGGGCCGGGTATAAATAATAATAATAATAATAATAATAATAATAATAATAATTATTATTATTATTATTATTATTATTATTATTATTATTATTATTATTATTATCATCATCATCATCATACTTGGAGATGCTGCCACCAGGGATTGCTCCTGGAACCTTCTGCATGCAAAGCAGGTGATCTACCACTGAACTGAAGCCCTAGTCTAAGTAAGGGTTTAGTCCTCATGGCCCTTCCCCATCATTTTGTCATGAGAATTCCTGGCCAGCCTGGAATGAGTGTTTTAGTTCCTAGTGAAAGCTATAGAACCTTCTGACAGCTGTCCCTGGTTCCTCAGAGGACCCTATTTTTTCTGCACCCAGGAAAGGACCTCACTGACTTAGTGAGGTGGCAGCTTTGCAAATAAAATGGTACCTTGGTTCTCAATCTGTTCCAAAACCAAAGCGTTCCAAAACCAAGGCACACTTTCCCATAGAAAGTAATGCAGAATGGATTAATCCGTTCCAGACTTTTAAAAACAACCTCTGAAACAGCCATTTAACATGAATTTTACTTTCTAACGAGACCACTGATCCATAAAATGAAAGCAATAATTAATGTACTGTACTATAAAATAAATAAGACAGTATTGTAGATGATAAAAATGAAAATTAATTTTTTTCTTACCTGCACCAATGATAGTCATTGTTTGGATCAATCAATCAATCAATCACTAGCTGAACTGGGTTCCACACAGTCACAAAAACAAGTGAACCGAAAAAGCCTCAAAAACAAAAATGCAAAATAATTAGCAAGTACAAAAGCGCCAAACTTAATCTGCTCCGGAAGTCGGTTTGACTTCCGAAATGTTTGAAACCAAGGTGCAGCTTTTGATTGGTGCAGGCGCCCCGGAAACAATAGCCGACAGCTGCATCGGATGTCCGGCTTCCGAAAAACATTCGGAAACCAGGACACTTCTGGGTTTTTGGCGTTTGGGAGCCAAGGCGTTTGAGAACCAAGGTACCACTGTATGAGGAAGCACAAACCTCACCCTCCTGCTGCCATTCCTTTCAGCAAGCCTGGCACCGCGCAGACGGCCAGAAAGCCACCCGTGAGCACCTCCTGATGGCCCTGGCTGACATTGACGTTTTCATGATCCGAGCCTCCTACTCTGACCGGCAGGCGGAGAGCAGGTAAAAAGGGGTCTGTGTCCCTGACCAGCAAATGGGACCAATGGGGAAGATTGGAACAAATATGCAAACTATTTGAAGAGCAATTGTAATCAACAAATTACACTAGTGGGACTACAATAAGCTTTGTAAGGAGGAATATATGAAATATCGCAAAGAAGATAAAGATATTAGTTATGATACTTAAATGTAATAGTGAAAGTAAAACATGTAAACTAAGTGGAAAAGATGGGAAAATTTTCAGATGTGATTGACGAAAGTCTAAAAAACTGTATAAGATATAAAAGTATGTTTTATAATTGTTGAAAATGATATGTTTCTATATAGATATAGGTATAGATGTAGATATAGATTTATATATAGTGGCGACTTAATAGGTGTGGTTTTTTGTGGTTAAAATGTCTTGGTATTTTAGTATAAACTTACATTTCTAACCCAAAAGGCTTCCATGGGGATCACAGAATTAGAAGGGACCCCCAAAAGTCATCTGGTCCATTTTAGTATTAAGTGCTATATAAATGTACCAAATAGAAAGGGTGGCAAGGAATAAAGAGGTTTAAAAAGAGAATTCCCTGGATGCCAAGATCCAGGTTTGGGACAAGTACTCTTTGGCGAGAGAACCCCAGCAGAGATTTAAAATCACAAAACATGCAGCAAAGCATGGAAATGTATGTTGGCCAATGGATTATTGTAACCAGAACGTCCAACACAGCTTCCGCTTGAGTGCATGAATCTCTTGCAACCAATTGGAATCCACGCCTTGGTTGTTGAACGTTTTGGAAGTCAAACGGTCGTCCGGAATGGATTATGTTTGACAACCAAGGTTTGACTGTATTCAATAAACATTTTCAAATCTTCTTTAAACGTACATTCATCTTGTTCTCGTATTCTGTATGTTAAGTCTGCAAGCTGCGCATATTCTGTCAGCTGTTGCCATTCTTCTTTGCTTGGGACGTCTCTCATTTTCCATTTGGGGGCTAACAAAACACGGGCCGCAGTACAGTCGTGCGTTGGAAGTGAAACGGAATCCATTCAACTTCCAAAGCGTATGGAAGCCAAAGAGCGGCTTCTGATTGGCAGCAGGAAGTTCCTGCAGCCAATCGGAAGCCGTGCCGAATGTCTGGCTTCCGAAAATGTTTGAAAACTGGATCACTCACTTCTGGGTTTCAATCATTCGGGAGCTGATTTCTTCGGGAGCCAAGGCATTTGAGATCCAAGGTACGACTGTACAGCCATACCTCGGGGTAATTACAGACGCTTCAGGTTGGCGTTTTCAGGTTGTGCACTGCGCCGAACCCGGAAGTACCGGAGCAAGTTACTTCCGGGTTTGCGCAGAAGCGCTAAATCGCGCTTTGCACATGCACAGAAGCGCTGAATCGCAACCCACACGTGCGCAGACGTGGTGCTGTGGGTTGTGAACCCCACAGGGATCACGTTCACAACCCAAGCGTCCACTGTAGTAGCATACATAAACAACCTATTTTGACACCTGGGAATTTCAGTCTGAATTATCCCCAACAGAAAGGACTCTGGTTTAGGGGGAGGGGGGGAGTACTATTAATCATTTTTCGCAGTTCGTTATGGATCATTTCCCAATACTTTTACCCTTTTACAAGTCCGCCACATGTGAAGGAATGTTCCCTCCGCCTCTTTGCATCTCCAGCACGTATCTGATTCAGTCTTACGCCTCTTGGCAAGCCTGCTCGGAGTTAAATACCATCTGTGAATCATTTTCATGTCGTTCTCCTTCAAAGAATAACATGGGGCAGAGCCTTTTCGCTATCTGTGGCCTCTTCCTCCTTGCAGGATCTCTGGCATCGACATGGACGTGGCAGTGCCACACACCACGGGACTGAGCCCAGCCCTGGAAGTCGAGGACTGCACTTGCCCGCCAGGATATCGCGGCCCCTCCTGCCAGGCGAGTGGAGCGCTAAGTCACATCTAAGTCCGACTCGGAGTAGAACCTCGGGGTTCTCAAGTCAACGGGCACAGTGGGGCTGGGGGCTGATCCCTCCACCACACCCTATTGTTGAGCCGAGCCCTGCCTCCCTCTCTCTCCCCTAGGATTGTGACGTTGGCTACACACGCACCACCAGTGGCCTCTACTTGGGGACCTGCGAACGCTGCAACTGCAACCAGCACACCGCCGAGTGTGACGCTGAGACCGGAGACTGCCAGGTGAGACTTCCTGGGGCGGGTTGGTGTGGAGGGGAGCAGCTCCTCACTGGCCACACCTGTGTGGGCTCCTGTAGTAGCAGGGTGGTTTGGGGAGGTCCTGGGTGAGGTGGGAAAGGTGGTTGGGGAAACCCAGCCAGATGGGTGGGGTATAAATAAATTATCATCATCATCAACAACTTTATTTTACAATGGTACCTCGGGTTAAGCACTTAATTCGTTCTGGAGGTCCGTTCTTAACCTGAAACTGTTCTCAGCCTGAGGTACCACTTTAGCTAATGGGGCCTCCCGCCACCGCGCGATTTCTGTTCTCATCCTGAAGCAAAGTTCTTAACCCGAGGTACTATTTCTGGGTTAGTGGAGTCTGTAACCTGAAGCGTCTGTAACCTGAAGCGTCTGTAAGCCAAGTTACCACTGTATTGATTACAGCCATACCTTGGGTTGAAGTAGCTTCGGTTTGAGCATTTTGAGGTTACGCTCCGCGGCGACCCGGAAGTAACGGAATGCGTTATTTCCAGGTTTTGTGGCTTGCGCATGCGCAGATGCTCAAAATGATGTCACTCGCATGTGCGGAAGTGGCGAATTGCGACCCGCAGACACGGGTTGCATTCGCTTCAGGATGGGAACGGGGCTCCGGAACGGATCCCGTTCGCAGCCAGAGGTACCACTGTATTATTAATAATAATAATAATAAATTTTATTTATATCCCGCCCTCCCCAGCGAAGCCGGGGTCAGGGTGGCTAACAACAATAAAATAGTACAACATTCTAAAATCATTTCATTATAAAATTAATTCGAATCAAATTGATGGCAACCATTAGGCTAAAGTTCTGTGAAGATTGCCAAAGGAGGGAGTCAGGCTGTGCCCTGACCAAAGGCCTGGTGGAACAGCTCTGTCTTGCAGGCCCTGCAGAAAGATGTCAAGTCCCGCAGGGCCCTTGTGACAGAGCCCTTGTGACAGAGCGGTCCACCAGATTGGAGCCACAGCCGAAAAAGCCCTGGCTCTAGTTGAGGCCAGTCTAACCTCTCTGTGCCCTGGGACCTTCAGGATGTTTTTGTTTGAAGACCGTAAGTTCCTCTGTGGGACATACCAGGAGAGGCGGTCCCGTAGGTACGAGGGTCCTAGGCCGTATAGGGCTTTAAAGGTTAAAACCAGCACCTTAAACCTGATCCTGTACTCCACCGGGAGCCAGTGCAGCTGGTATAGCACCGGGTGAATGTGATCTCGCAGCCAAGACCCCGTAAGGAGTCTCGCCATGGCATTCTGCACCCGCTGGAGTTTCTGGATCAGTCTCAAGGGCAGCCCCACGTAGAGCGAGTTACAATAATCCAGTCTGGAGGTGACCGTCGCGTGGATCACAGTGGCTAGGTCAGGGCGAGAGAGGTAAGGAGCCAACTGCTTAGCTTGGCGGAGATGAAAAAATGCCGCCTTTGTTATAGCTGCAATCTGCGCCTCCATGGAGAGGGAGGTATCAAAGATTATACCCAAACTCTTAACGGACGGTGATGGCACTAATTGCACCCCCGCAAGAGATGGGAATTGCCCCCCCCATCCCATATCGTCCCTTCCCAGCCAAAGGACCTCTGTCTTCGAAGGGTTTAACTTCAACCGACTCCCATGTAACCATCCAGCCACAGCTTCCAAACATCTGATCAGTGTGTCTGGGGCCGAGTCAGGATGGCCATCCATCAACAGATAGAGTTGGGTGTCATCAGCATACTGATGGCAGCCCAGCCCAAAACTCCGGACAAGCTGGGCGAGGGGGCGCATAAAGATGTTGAAAAGCATCGGGGAGAGTATCGCACCCTGAGGCACTCCACACACCAAGGAGTGGCGTGATGACAATCCCCCCAAATATTATTATTATTACTATTATTATTATTATCATCATCATCATCATCATCCACAGGCCTGCCAGCACAACACAGAAGGACAGCGGTGTGAGCGCTGCCAGCCAGGTTTCTTTGGTGATGCCAGGCGTGGGACCCCCGGAGACTGCCAACCGTGCCCATGCTACGGACCCTATTCTGCTAGCCAGTAGGTACCGCCTGCCAGCCATTCTGCCTTCCTCCTCCCCCCTTTTGAGCGAGGGGTGGTGTCTCTCGGCTGCTAACTTCCCACCCTCCTCTTCTCCCAGGCCCGCCAAGACCTGCTTTGTGGACACAGACGGGCAGCCCACCTGCGACTCCTGCGCCCCGGGCTACATCGGGCGCCAGTGCGAAAGGTAGGGTGGCCGTGATGACTCTGCCAGGGAGGGGTGTAAGAATGAGCCCTCAGGCTGGAGGGGGGGGAGAGAAATTGCCCACTCCTGGTGTGATTGGATGGTGGGTGCCTTCTTCCTTTCGAAAATCCAGCTGGAGCTCAGTAGGCCAGGAACTCTTGGGCTATGGTGGGAGAGAACCTCCTCCCACCAGGAAGGTGGGACCATGGTCTGCTTCACTCTCTTTCACTCGCAGGGTTGTTGTGAGGATCAAATGGGGGGTTCTGACTTTCAGAGAAGTTGTTATGCCGACAGACCATTGCTTAAAACTTTTTTTTAATGATGATTATAAATTTGTTTCCTTGGTTTTTCAAATTAAAATTTTACAGACATATATCAAACATAAATCACAAAAACAAGATCCCAAGGAATCTCCTGGACTTCCCTCCTCCCCTTTGTGGGTTCTACGTTTAATCTAGGCCTAGGACCCACGTAGGGGACGCGGGTGGCGCTGTGGGTAAAACCTCAGCGCCTAGGACTTGCCGATCGCATGGTCGGCGGTTCGAATCCCAGCGGCGGGGTGCGCTCCCGTCGTTCAGTCCCAGCGCCTGCCAACCTAGCAGTTCGAAAGCACCTCTGGGTGCAAGTAGATAAATAGGGACCGCTTACCAGCGGGAAGGTAAACGGCATTCCGTGTGCTGCGCTGGCTCGCCAGATGCAGCTTGTCACGCTGGCCACGTGACCCGGAAGTGTCTGCGGACAGCGCTGGCTCCCGGCCTATAGCGTGAGATGAGTGCACAACCCTAGAGTCTGGCAAGACTGGCCCGTATGGGCAGGGGTACCTTTACCTTTACCTTTAGGACCCACGTACCTACAGGACCGCCTCTCCTGGTATGCCCCGCGGAGGACCTTAAAGTCCACAAATGACAACATTTTCGAGGTCCCAAGTCACAAGGTGGCTAGGGCCAGGGCCTTTTCAGTACTGGCCCTGACTTTGTGGAACGCTCTGTCACAAGAGACTTGACATCTTTCTGCAGGGTCTACAAGACAGAGCTCTTCTGCCTGGCCTTTGGTTTGGACTCAGTCTGACCCTTATGTTCCCACCCCCTCCTTTATGGTTTTGATCTATGGGCTGCTCTTAAAATGAGGCTGCATTTTAAATTGCATTTTAACCTGTGCTTTAAATTGGTTTGTTTTTTTCCTATTATGTTTTTACTGTAATTTTACTGGTGTTAGCCGCCCTGAGCCTGAGTCTGGCCGGGGAGGGCGGGGTATAAATAAAAATTATTATTATTATTATTATTATTATTATTATTATTATTATTATTAATTTATTTATTTTATCATCCTCATCATTTCCTCCTGCATCTTTTGTGATAATCCAAATCTTTTACCTCTCCATTGTGTCCAAAATTCACCATTAAGCTACAAGTGATACTCCAATCCTACTAACGATTTTAACCATTTACAATGGTCTTTAAGATAAGTTATAAAATTTCCCCCTTCCTTATTACATTTTTGGTCTTCCTGATTTCTGATTCTTCTGGTCATTTTGGCCGTCTTGGCATAATCCATCAGCTTGATCTGCTATTCTTCTCTGGTAGGAACTTTATCTTCTTTCCATCTCTGGGCCAATAACATCCATATAGAGGTTCTCCGCCGAGCGAAAATGGAAGCAAAAATCTTAAGATATCAGAGATTAGGAACCGCATAGAGGCAGAAGGAAGTCATTAAATAAATCACAGGAATAAAACCAGAGACTAGGCATAGATAAGAAAGTGAGAGTTGCGAGGAAAAAAGGATAACATGAAGAGAAAATCAGTCCTTACTGGAAAGATGTGTTTATAACAATGGCATCGACGGTTTGTATTTCTTAAATTACTGTATGTTTTTGACAAGATATGTTGTTTAACATTCTTTCTATTCTCTTTTTCTTTCTTTTCTTTTTTCTTTCCCCCCCTTTATAACAGAATATTGTGTCTCATTATGTGTAACTCCTAATGTGCAAATAAAAATTATTTTTTAAAAAAAAGGGGGGGGGAGAACATACTCTCTTGCTCCCGGCAGCCAGGCAGGTGCACTTTGGTCCTTCTGAGCCTGGAAGGTGGGGGGGGGGGCGATGGGCTGAAGCAGACCCTCAGACTTTGGCCCCTGCTCCTTTCATCCCCTTAACTCACCCCTCTTCTCTTGGGCCAGGTGTGCGCCAGGCTACGTGGGCAACCCCAGCCGGGGGCAACCGTGCACAGGTGAGTCCAGCTCCTGGGGCAAAGGGAGCCGTCTGCCAACAGAGAAACCAGGTTTCCGCAGCCAAGCGAACTTCGATCGTTTCTGGCATCCCATGAAAAGCCTCCCAGGAGGATTTGATTGTCGCAGCCTCCGGTGTTTTGGATTTCCAGCTCCCAAGCCGGGAGACTGAGAAGTGTTGTAGCTCAAAATATCTGGGCTGGCGAGGGCGGAATCAAAGCCTTGGGGCGGGTGGAAGGGGAAATAGTCTCACTCTTGCACCTGCCAAGTACCCACTGTCGTCAGCAGTTCCCTTCCACTTCTCTCCCCCCCCCCCCAGCTACAGATCATGGCACCCGATGCCACTGCGATCCACATGGAAGCATCAGCAGCCATTGTGATGCCAGCGGGCAGTGCCAGTGTAAGGTAAGGCAGGAGGGGGGGAAGCACCCATCGTTGTGTGCATTCCCTCCCCAGCTCAGAAACCCATTTCCTTTTTATTATTCTTATTATTATTTTCAAGTTTTCATTATTAACATCATTCAAACTTAAATTCAACAATATTTATACAGTTGTGTGGTTCCCTGAACCCCCGTACTTCCCTCCTCTCCCTTCTGGTTTTCCACAGATACATTTTTTTAAAAAAATTAACCACATCTAATTCATATATCCAACTTTGATTAAATCCTTATTCATTCCTTTACCTATTAAAAAATTACAAGTGCTGCTAACATCTTTAAATCTTTACATTGTTCCTTAATGTACTCTATAAAATTTACACCATTCTTTTTTAAATTTACTGTCATCTTGGTGTCTGATCTTCCTAGTCATTTTCTCCATTTTGGAATAGTCCCTCATTTTCACTATCCACTCTTCCTTGGCTGCTGTTTCCTCTTCCTTCCATCTCTGGGCAAACAGTATTCTTGCAGCTGTTTTTGCATACATTAACAGTCTTTTAAAGTCCTTTGGTATTTCTTCTCCTTTGATGCCTATCAAAAAAGCTTTTGGTTGTTGTTGTTTTTTTACAAAAGTTAAACATTTTTTTCAGTTCATTACATATTATTTCCCAGAATGCTCTGGCCCTTTTGCACGTCCACCACACGTGGTAGAACGTGCCTTCATTCTCTTTGCACTTCCAACATACGTTGGTGGCGTTTTTGTACATTTTCGCTAATCTTGTGGGAGTCAAATGCCATCGGTACATCATTTTCATATAATTTTCTTTCAACGAACAGCATGCGGTGAACTTCAAATAAATCTTGAGAGACTTTGTCAAAAATGTTGTTGGAATGGGAAATGAGAGATGAAGAGCAAAAAAGCAGGAATGAATCATTGGGCAAAAGGTGTAGGGTATAATATAGATTACAAGGGATGCGGGTGGCGCTGTGGTCTAAACCACAGAGCCTAGGACTTGCCGACTAAAAGGTTGGCGGTTCAAATCCCCGCAACGGGGTGAACTCCTGTTGCTCGGTCCCTGCTCCTGCCAACCTAGCAGTTTGAAAGCACGTCAAAGTGCAAGTAGATAAATAGGTACCGCTCCGGCAGGAAGGTAAACGGCGTTTCTGTGCGCTGCTCTGGTTCGCCAGAAGCGGCTTAGTCCTGCTGGCCACATGACCCAGAAGCTGTACGCTGGCTCCCTCGGCCAGTAAAGCGAGATGAGCGCCGCAACCCCAGAGTCGTCCACGACTGGACCTAATGGTCAGGGGTCCCTTTCTAATATAGATTTTATGGAGGGAGGATTTGAAGTTCAGAAACCCATTTCTATCCCAGCCCAGCCCTGAAAAGCGCATGCTGTTTCCACTCGCCTTTTCCAGCTGCCCTTTCCTTCCCCGCCAGACCCTCCTCCTTTTTGCACCCGCTGCCTGGGGTTTGTGGGTGCTTCGATCCTTCCACCCCAGAGGTTTGTGGATCCCGCGAGCCTAAGTTTCCCGGCTGCTGTGAACCTTGGCTCAGCCAGCAGTGGGGTTCTGCCTGCCCACTGCCCTCTTTACTTTGCGCTCCAGCTTTTCTCCCTTCCCGTTGCAGGCGCACACGGAGGGGCCCTCCTGCGGCAGCTGTCGGCCGCACCACTTCCACCTGAGCGCGGAGAACAAGGAAGGCTGTTTGCCCTGTTTCTGCATGGGCGTCACCCAGCAATGCACCAGTTCCTCCTACCACCGGGACCTGGTAAGAGCAGCACAGCTTCTTTTCTTTCCTGGACTTCCAGGAATTTTCGTTCTGCTGGTCTTGGGAAATGTACCAAACTATGTTTCACACACACTGTTCCCGATGCCACGTAATACTCTTTCCACATTTGTAAGAAAGCAGTCTTCTATCAAGGCACACTTTGGAACTCCCCGCCTATTGACTCTTTTCTTTTCTAAGCTAGCTAAATGCGTTTTTGTGTAGGTGAAGCCTATCTGGATAAGCAGAATGTTGACAGGCTTTTTTTTTTTAATGTAGTTTTATTAAAGATTTTCTTGGTTTACAAAAGTATGTTCAATGTCTCTCTCTCTCTCTTTTTTCAAGTAACTTTTTTTACAGATCAGTTTCATTTGCTAACAGGCATTTTAATCTTGAACAAAAGTATGAAATTATCAGCCAAATCACACCTTTAAAACATTCAAATGATTAAACCAATAAACTAAAAGCAAATTGAAACATACATCCACATTCTACGGGTTTGCCTAAAGAAAAATGCTTTATACAGGTGCCAAAAATGTTTTAAGCGAAGGCGCCTTGCCTGATGTCAATAGGCAGGGGGTTCCAGAGTGTAGATGCTGCCACACTCAAAGATTAGTTTCTTACCGATGCAGAACTCGTCTTATGTGGCACCTGTAAGAGTCCCAGTTCAGCAGATCAAAGCTGCAGTTGGTTGCGACCCTCTGCCATCCATCTGGTTATCTCCCGCTTGGACTACTGCAATGTGCATATAACACCAGTCCTGAAAGACCTACATCGGCTCCCAGTACGTTTCCGAGCACAATTCAAAGTGTTGGTGCTGACCTTTAAAGCCCTAAACAGCCTCGGCCCAGTATACCTGAAGGAGCGTCTCCACCCCCATCGTTCTGCCTGGACACTGAGGTCCAGCGCCGAGGGCCTTCTGGCGGTTCCCTCACTGCGAGAGGCCAAGTTACAGGGAACCAGGCAGAGGGCCTTCTCGGTAGTGGCGCCCGCCCTGTGGAACGCCCTCCCACCAGATGTCAAAGAGAACAACAACTACCAGACTTTTAGAAGACATCTGAAGGCAGCCCTGTTTAGGGAAGCTTTTAATGTTTGATGTATTACAGTATTTTAATATTATGTTGGAAGCTGCCCAGAGTGGCTGGGGAAGCCCAGCCAGATGGGCGGGGTATGAATAATAAATTATCATCATCATCATCATCATTATTCATAAATAAGAATAAAATAAATTATTATTATTATTTATTATCATCATCATCTGTGCCATCTCTGCTCTTTCCCCGCAGATCACCACGCCTTTCCTTCCCAGAAATTTCCAGGGATTCTCACTGGTCAACCGTCAACACACCACCCGGATCGAGACCGGCTTCACGGTGGAGATGTCCCCCGAGGGCCCTCAGCTCTCCTATGCCCGCTTTGGGCAGCTGGGGGAGGAAACCTACCACTGGCAGTTGCCGGAGACCTACCTGGGCGACAAGGTGAGAGCCCTGCTCTGTGGGATGCAGGAAGTGGCGCTTGCAGTTCTTGAGCCCATCCCTGTGGCGTCTGGTCATCCTCCCCGGACAGTCTCTTCGAATTGTGTTCCTCATGGTCTGTTGTGAACCAAGGCACTGATTTTGGGGGCCGGGGGTGGGGATGGGAATTCATAGGGTGTTTCCAGAGAGAGATGAGCTAGCAGAACCTTGGCTTTGAAGGTAAGTCCATGGGTACCAACTTAAAGAAGGAGACAAATGAGAAAGGAAGGATGCTTGGAGGCCGATGAGGATTCAGTCGGACCATTGGGTCCATCTAGCTCAGTATTGTCTACACTGACTGGCAGCAGTGGCTCTCCAGGACTCTAAGCAGAGATCTCCCCCAGCCTTACCTGAAGATGCTGCCAGTGGGGGTTGAACCCAGAGCCTTTTACATGCCAGGCAAGTGTTCTGCCACGGCGCAACGGCCTGTTTTCAAGCAAGGAGGGCGCAGAGATCAGAGTGCACATTGGGTGCCAGACTAGGACCTGGGCGACTAGGGTGCAAATCTTCCTGGGTGCTGCTTCACGGTTTCTCTCTCCTCCTCCCAGCCGTCTCCCAAGAAAGAAGCCTCACTTTTCTGGCGCCCGAAGCTCGCGGGAGTGACCTTGGGCCACTCGCTGCCTCGGTCAGCCTAGCTTGCCTTGCAGGGTTCTTGTGAGGATTAAATGAGAACAGGGTAGCTCTTTGGAAGGCAGGTGGGACACAAATGTGGTGGTGGTGATTTGGTGGAAAAGAAGGGAGGAATTCCACCCCTTCCCTATTATTATTATTATTATTATTATTATTATTATTATTATTATGTCCCCATTCCCAGGGTTTTTCTAGCAGAAAACCACACAAATAGACTCAGGGGTTCCCCTGCGGATGTCCTCTTACAGTCAGCATGTGAGGTCCAGATAATAATAATAATAATATTAATAATATTAATAATATTAATATTTTTTATTTATACCCCGCCCTCCCCAGCCAAGGCCTGGCTCAGGGCGGCTAACAAGCAATAATAAAAACAAGTTGAATGAATACAACTTAAAAACAAGATTAAAATACAGCAATTAAAATATTGAAACATAAAAATATTAAAATGTAGCCTCATCACAGGAGGAGAAAGGAAAAGAAAAAAGAAAGAGGGGGAGGGAATCAAATTGGCTCCAAGCCAAAGTCCAGGCGGAACAACCCTGTCTTACAGGCCCTGCGGAAAGAAATCAGATCCTGCAGGGCCCTGGTCTCATGAGACAGAGCGTTCCACCAGGCCGGAGCCAGTGTTGAAAAGGCCCTGGCTCTGGTTGAAGCTAATCTAACTTCCTTAGGGCCCGGGACCTCTAGGGTGTTGCTATATATGGACCTTGAGGCTCTCCGTGGGGCATACCAGGAGAGGCGGTCCCATAGGTACGAGGGTCCTAGGCCGTGATGATGCAGCCCCTTGCCAGCAGAAGGTGGCACAAGCCTGTGTGGATCCTGGGTACTCCGAGCTCCCCCCATCCGTGCCAACCTTCCCCCAAAGCAAGCCGTTCCATGGGACTGGAAGTGGGTGGGGACGGTTATCAGGGCACTCCTGGCGGGCAGCAGAGAAGTGAGACTTCCTTCTTGGGAGATTGTTGTTGTAGTTTATTGAATTTACATACTGCCCTATACCCGGAGGTCTCAGGGCGGTTCACGTAAAAACACCGCAGTATATAAAATTAAAATAAAAGCAGAGAAGGCCCGTTCTGGTGTTGCCACTCTCTGGACCTCTCGAGATGGCTGGGAGCAGGAGAGAGAAACCATGAAGCAACACCCAGGAAGGTCGGCAGTTAGGATTGGGGAGGCAGACCTCCTTTGTTGTTTTACCCTCTGACAATCCTGCCTTCGAATATGCATTGCAGGGGGTGGACTCGAAGACCCTCAGTGGTCCCTTCCAACTCTAGAATTAGATAATTGTGAGGAATGGGGTGGGCATCCCAAGTTTTGACAGCTCACAAGCCGCCGGCAAGGCTTGCCATTTGTTGTGTATTTGTCTATAAGCGCATCGCCTGCCCCCAAACCCGTCTTGAATTAGCAACCCTCGCAACTTCCTGTGGCAGGGAGTTCCACAGGCTTACGCGTGAGTTGCACAAAGGCGTGCTTTGTTTTGTGAGGGGATGACACTTTGAACTCGGAGGGGCAAAGGTTCAATGAGAGAGCCCTGCTGGTTGAGGGGAAATATTTTATCCAGCCCCCAAATCTGCTCAGAGCTCCTGCTTTCCTGCGCCACTTCAGAGCTGGCTAGAATACTGGGGGGGGGGGCAAGCTGGACAGGGGGGAGAGTCTTGTTCCCAGGAGGGGCACAATGATGGGGCTGAATGTATTTGGGGGTCTGGCATGGGCTATGAACTCTCCACCTTTACCTGCTCTCTCTCTCTCTGTCTGTCTCTTTTCGTTTCTCTCATTTCGTTCCTGCCCAGACTGTTGGGCAGAAGGAAACCTACTTTGCCCGGATGCGCCGTGCCCACAAGGTACGCGGGCAGAGATGCCCGTAGCGGAGCATGGACTTGTCGGGTTCTGGGGCATGCTATTGTATTGTGTGCGGGGAGGCCTGGTTGTTGAAGGCAGGAGGCCCCAGGAGGATGACTCGCTAGGAGGAAAGGTGATTTGCAGTGTTTGGGGCTTTTCAGTTCGGAGGAAAGGCGAGTCGAGAGGTGACGTGATAGAACTGTGTGAAGTTATTATGCATGGCATTGAGAACGCTGAATGTTGGAAGATTTAGGACAGGTAAAAGTAGGCCTTTCTAATGTTCTCTGGCTGGGATCTGTGCCAAAGCGGCTGCCGTGCTTTGTTCAGAAGCCACAGAGCTTGTTCAGCCTTTTACAGAGTCAGACTTCCCTGGGCTACCTAGCTTTTAAAAACGTTTTGACAACCCACCCTATATTGAGATGGCCATTTCTTTTAAACCCTTTTTAATCTTGCATTTTAAATTATTGTAAACCTGCCCTGGGGAACCTCAGGGTGGGTCATGAATCAAAATAATCGCAGCAATAACAACAGCTCGGTGCTGTCGACAGTGACTGGCAACAGCTCTCCAGTCTTTCTTTTCTTTTTCCAAATATTTTTATCGGTTTTTACACAAACAAATTTAAAATAGTGGAAAAAAGAAGAACTTTTAACATATCCACACATGAGATTCTCTGAAGCTTGTGACTCCCCGCCCCCCGTCCCCTACATGGGGTCCTTAAAATATTTTTTCTAAAACTACATATCATTACATTTTCCACAGTTTTCATTTCTCTAAATTGTCCGTGTCTTTTGTTTCTTTACAAGTTATTTTTTAAGTCCAGCTGACGTTTTTATTTGTTTGCAATTGTCTTCTAAGTAAGTTATAATTTTGCCCCATTCTTCTTTAAAGTCTTTATCTTCTTGATTCCTGAGTCTCCCGGTCAGTTTTGACCATTGGTAGCCAAACTAAGGCCCAGGGGCTGGATGTGGCCCAATTGCCTTCTAAATCTGGCCCGCGGACAGTCCGGGAATCAGCGTGTTTTTACATGAGTAGAATGTGTCTTTTTATTTAAAATGCATCTCTGGGTTATTTGTGGGGCATAGGAATTTGTTCATATTTTTTTTCCACAATATAGTCCAGCCCCCCACAAGGACTGAGGGACAGTGGACCGGCCTCTGCTGGAAAAGTTTGCTGACCCCTGGTTTTGACATTTCAGCATAGTCCAGCAGTTCGGGACTGTTGTTTCCTTCCATCTTTGGGCTAGTAGTATCCTTGCAGCTGTTGTCACGTACATAAAAAGTCTTTTCTGGTCTTTTGGAATGTCGGTACCTGTAATTCCTAAGAGAAAAGCTTCTGGGGTTTTTCTTACAAACATTTTCTCCCCAGTTCATTATACTGTATATCAATTCCCAAAAGGACTTTGTCATCTTACATGACCACCACATATGAGCTACAGCTCTTTCAACAGCTCTTGTAATTTTGAGTGTCTGCTGGTGTGGCATGGCTGGGGTGTGTGCATGCCCCCAAATCTGTGGTGTGCTGCCTCCTAAGATCAACAAACCCCTACCCTTCGTGCAAATTGGGGGGAGTGCCATTTGCCCTCCTAATATGTTCTTGTCTGCCTTTCCCTCCCTTCCCTGCATGGGCACCCCATACTCTGCCCCCAAACAGGAGAGCCTCTCCATGGGGAGCAACAGTTAATGTTCAAGGGAGTCGGGTGTGGGGAGGCTGTCAGCTTTGCATGGCCAGGCGAGAGGCCGGCCAGCTTTCAACATGCCCACCGCCCGTGTCCCACCCCAGCAGAACTCCACATCCCTCACAGAGGAGCAGCTGAGGAAGGACGTGGCAGCTGGCAGGATCCCCAGCTCTGGCGGCCGGGTCCGGCGAGCCACCCAGGTAACGAGTGCGAAAGCTGGCTCCACGGGGATCTGTCCAGCTGGGGATAGCGGCGTTCGCCCTGGGTTGGGCAGCCATTCTGAGCTCTGTCCTTTTCAAGGATGCCCAGCTGTTTTCAGGCCTACCAGCGCGAGTAGATAAATAGGTACCACTGCGGCGGGAAGGTAAATGGTGTTTCTGTGCGCTCTGGCGCTGGTCACAGCATCCTGTTGGGCCAGAAGTGGTTTGGTCATGCTGGCCACATGACCCAGAAAAGCTGTCTGTGGACAAACGCAGGCTCCCTCGGCCTGAAAGCGGAGATGAGTGCCGCACCCCATAGTCGAATTTGACTGGACTGAACCGTCCAGGAGTCCTTTACCTCTCTGTACTGGGCCTGCAGGTCCTCTTTTGCTCTGCCTGTCTGCCTCTCTCTCTCTCCCCCCCCCTTCTTCCTTCCTTCCCTGACTCCCTCGCCTCCATCCTTCAGGTGCAGGAAGCCCAGTTGAGACGCGATGCTGAAATCTGGGAGATGCTGTCCCGCTGGCAGGCCTCCTCCCGCAGGGCACTCCCTCCTCCCAAGGAGAAGGAGGAGGGCGCCCCCAAACCCCCTCCAGCAGGACTGCGGACCCCCTCAGCTGCC